GGTGATGTGATGTGTCATAAGCTGAGACTCTGGTGTTTTCTATAGTGCTAGTTTATTTCACTCACTCAGTAGTTTTTCTTTTTTAACCTAACCTACCACGTGCCATGTGATGATATATGTACTAGTCTGAATCATGTAGACTTCTGTTTTTATAGGTAAGAACTGACACTTTCATATGGTTAAATCTAGATTTGGAGGGTTTTCCTAAGCTAGTTAGGTTTCCTTCTGATGGCATCAATGAAGGCAAAGATAACCCAATCATTGCTATTTGCTATGGCGGCCTAGGTCTGCTGGGGTTTCCTTCCAGAAACAGGGCAGATACCAGTTTCTACCATGCATGTAATGGTGTGATATCTTGTGACTTAACATAAGGCTGAGTTACCGCTTTAGATCAGCTTCTCCCAGATGACTTTTTTTTTTTTTTTTTAAACGAAGTCTTGCTGTTACCCAGGCTGGAGTGCAGTGTCACAATCTCAGCTCACTGCAACGTCCACCTCCCGGGTTCAAGTGATTCTCCTGCCTCAGCCTCCCGAGTAGCTGGGATTACAGACGCCCACCACCACTCTGGGGTAATTTTCAGATTTTTTGTAGAGACGAGGTTTCGCCATGTTGGCCCTGGTCTTGAACTCCTGACTTCAGGTGATCCACCTGCCTCACCTTCCCAAAGTACTGGGATTACAAGTGTGAGCCATCACGCCCGGCCCCAGATGCCCTTTTGTACAGAGGCAGTCTGAGGCCTGGGCCACTTGGGGAGCCCAACTACCACACTCCCCAACTCTGCAAGCCCTGCTCTGCAGTGTGGAGAGGCAGCTGGCCAGAGGAGAGTGATTTGTAGTGCACAACGAGGACAATCTTGTTTGGGCCCATCTTGTCTAATGCCATTGGAGCAAAGTACCAAAGTTCACTTGCAAATATATTTACACAGACCAATATAAAATTAACTGATTTAATAATCAGTTAAAAAGAAACAAAACAGGCTAGGCATGGTGGCTCATGCCTATAATCCCAGCACTTTGGGAGGAAAAGGTGGGTGGATCACCTGAGGTCAGGAGTTCGAGACCAGCCTGGCCAACATGGCGAAACCCTGTCTCTACCAAAAATACAAAAATTAGCTGGATGTGGTGGTGCACACCTATAATCCCAGCTACTCAGGAGGCTGAGGCAGGAAAATCGCTTGAACCTGGGAGGCGGAGGTTGCAGTGAGCTGAGATCGCACCACTGCACTCCAGCCTGGGTGAGAGCAAGACTCCGTCTCAAAAAATAAAAATAAAAAACAAATAGCTAAAGAACAAACAAATAAACCAAAACCTGACACCTTTAGACTCTGGGGATAGACAAAGGAGATACCTAGTATCCCTTCACTAATTTATTAGAAGAAAGATGTTTTGTTTCCCTTGTACTCAATTTTTTGTTGACCAGATTCTCTGTGAATATGCCTAGTTTAATCTAGTACCAAAGTGCAGAGTGTGGGAGATAATAAAAAAAGACTAAGATTTTGAAATATAAAACCAAGGTTTTGAGATACTTTTGATGCTGCAGATATATGATATGAGCTTATTAAGTGATTAAATTTATTCAACAGGAGTTTCTGGAGCAGCCTTTCTGGTGGTGAATAACCAGGTGAACATTAACCACAGTGGCCAGTGGGGTGAGACTTGCGCTTCTCAACCTCAGCTCTGGCGATATCTGGGGCCAGATCATTCTTTGTTGCGGGGGACTGTCCTGTAGGATGATGAGCAGCATCCCTGACTCTACCCATGAGCACCAGCAGCACTCCCACTGGCTGAGAATCACAGGGTCCAATGGATATTCTACAATCAAATGCAAACGGAATAATGTATGAGGGGAAAGCACAGCTTCCTGGGGAACAACCCTCGTCAGCTTCGCAAAGCCGGAGGCAAGCCTGGAGGAATGGCCCACAGTGACGGCGCGAGGCGTCTGGAGTGAGTGAGGTGGAGTGTTATGGAGTAGTACCCACCTTGACAACTGCATCCCTTCCAGCCAAACTCAAGAATGGACAACCAACACTGGCTTACACAGCTGAAGGGGTCCTGGGGAAGAGATGGGGCTTGCAGACTCAACCGTTGCTTCAAAAGGGGGTGGCCTGGGGGACAGTGAGAAGGATCTCTCCACCCACCTCTGGGAGGTGGCAGCTCCATTCCTGACAGCTCCATTCATCTACAATAGCCATGCCTCTTCCCCACTCCATCTGGCTCCTCCTCACTCCTCAGGTCTCAGCTCAAACAGCACTCTCCCCACTTCCACCCCAAGGTTCTCTGATCCTTTCCCTGCGGCCGCCCTCCCCTGGCCCCGCTAGTCTGCTCAGCGGTGGCTGCCATCCAAACTTCTCATGCAGAGCTTGTCACCTTGGCACACACATACTGTGTATATTTATGTGGATCGCAGGAGTTTGGTTTTCTGTTTGTTCCTCCCATTAAACTATGAACTCCATGAAGACAGAGATCCTGTTTCCATGGAGTGCCACACTCTTCCCAGAAGCCAATGGGGTACCCAACACATGGTAGACATCCCCTCCAAAATATCTGCTGAATTGATGAAGGAAACCATTTTCCACAGAATGGCAGGAGAGGTCCAGTAAGTGAGGTTCATGAGGATGGAATCAAGCGTGTGGTCATTGTAGCAAACAATGTAGCATCAATGTGTGCGCTGGTTTATTTCTGCCAAGTGTGCCAGGCAAAAGCTGGTCCCAGACAAGTGTGGGACATGTGCAAGTTTCTGTCTTTACCCACGTATTTTTGGGGGTGTTCACCAGTACATTATGATACATCTTTTGGACAAATGGTTTGTACCCTGAGCTGAATCACACACCCTCAATGTGTCAACAACTTATATCAAAAGCCTGGTGAGACAGTTAGCTACTAAACTGGGTGGTGGAGTTCAATGCTTTGAAACTGGTATTATAAGGAATGATCATTTGCATATTGATCAGGGAGGGTGGAGAGCAAGGGGAGAGGGAGACTGTGCAACAAAGACAAGGTGAGCCTCTGATTATGTCTGTATTTCAAAGCACACATGATTGACACGGGGGCAGTAGGCCCACTGCTGACATCTAGTCTGCTTGGTTCCTCACCACCACTGCCAGGTTCCAACATCAAGAACACAGAGACATTTCCGTCTAACTTTTATATGAAGAATTTAATTATCTATACACGTAACTAATTCAAAAGGTTGTATTACAGTTGTTAAAGCCGCAGGTTTATATATTTATATATTTTACATTCATATCCATGAAAATACTGAAGCGCAACCAAACGAGGAGGAGTGGTCCTCGCTCTCTGCACCATGTGAAAGGAGAAGGACCTCTACACAACCGCCAGCACAGTCTCCCGACAGCGCCGGGCAAACGCGAGGGGCGTGCGCGTTACAGAGTCTTTAGGAGGATAGCTAGATTGTGCTTGAGGCTCCCCCTACCCCATTTTCTGTGCTGTGAGCAGCAGGCATTTTTATTGAGAGCTTCCAACTAGTGTTTAAAAGACAAACAGGGCTTCGGCTACAGCATATCCAACACACAAACAGACCATGAGCTCCATTTCATATTAATCTGTAGAAATTCCATAGTCTAGTTAAAAAATGTAAACATTGGAAATTAATTGCAAGGAGACTTCTATACATTCTTTCTTGTCAAGAAAATTACTTGTTCAGAATAGGTCATTCCATGAAAAATAATTGGAATAAAACTTCCTGTAACAGAGACTAAAAAGAGATTGTGGATATCGTTGATCGTAACGACCTCAACGGCGTCGTCTACTGATTTTATGCTATGCAAACACGCAAAATTAAAAACCCCAAACAAAACACCAACTCAACCAGATAAATCTGAGACCAAACAAAAACACAGAGTGCTTTCTCATGTGGCTACAAGGTCACTGTGCAAAATAAACTTAAATGCAACATGATTAGAGCATCATACAAGGTAATAGCTTTGCCATGGAAAGAACTAATTTCTTATGTACAGGACGTATTACATGCTCAGCAAGGTACAGCTGATACACACAAACAAGCACAAACACCTTCGCTTTAATTGGGCTCATTCTACACGTCTTTAAAACAGAGACACTGAACTCCTCTGCACTTCTATAGTAAGGGGAAAAAGCCCCAAACTACACAATTTAGTTGGTAACACTGGACAAAATAAAAAAATACATCAAGTCTCAGATTTATGGACATTTGGAACAATTTTTAATAGCACATGCAGCATTCCTTGATAGTGGGTCTTTTTGCAAAACCAAAATAGCAAAGAAGTCATTTATTTTGTTTATTAAAAGGCTAAAATATATATTTAAAAATAATTTTAAAACTATTGAAAGCACCTGTGCAAAGGTGGGGGAAAGTCAATTTGAGTCACTAGGAAAGCCACAAAAGGACCCACTACCCTGTGTGTTTTTGTAATTTTTGCTCCTATCTCTGCAAGTAATAACTCAAACATTGCGATCACATGCAACTAAGGTAAAATGAGGTAAACTGCTCTGCAGTGAGTTCTTCTACTCAGAAGGCAGTAGGTGATCATGCTGGAAGTCACATGATCAAGGCTGCATCTCCCATCATCCCTCTGGGCAGTGATATGGGATAGTGGGTCTCTTTGAGGACTTTCAAGCCTGAGGGGGGGATGGACAACATATGATTCCTAGAAAAAGGAGGAAAACAACACATAAGCAAAACAAAACAATGAGCAAAATTCAAGCTAGGAAAATGAGTCAGGCATGTAAACAGCATGGTGCCAAAATGATTTAAAAAAAAAAAAAAGGAAAAAGGAGGGAGGGAAGGGAGGGGACATGCTACAGAAGGAATGAAAATTAAAGAAAAAAAACCCCACGAGATAAACTCTTGCATTACAGAAGGTCTTCAAAGAGACGATTGTGAATGCAGCAATGGTCTAGCTTTAAGTTCTGCAAACAAAGCTCAGCAGAATCAGAGCAATGCTGCATGTTTTACCGGAAGATACCAGAGAGGCAAGGCGACAGAGCCACCAGGGCACTTACATTGCTGGCTTGGGTCCATGTCTGTGGTCAGCTTCACATAATTGGATGGGAAGAGTCCCACTTGTCCATTGACTTCTCCTTTCCACCAGTCGGGGTCCTCCTTGTTGAGGACATTGATGATCTGGCCCTTGTTGAAGGCCAGCTCGTCGTCATTCTGTGCGATGTAGTCATACATCCCAATCACCTGGCACACTGCAGGAGACAGGGCTGGGTGAGTGGCAGCACACTCGCTGGAGAGCGCGGAACAGGCACCGCGCAGCCATTCAACATTCCCAGCTACTATTTCTGTCCTTTCAGAAAAGGATGACAGTAGGTGGAACTGTTCTATCGGGCTTTTATAGTGTGGGCAATAGAGGAAGACAAAGAATTAAAAACCAAGACAACAGCAAAACATTCATACTAAGCCTTTAGCTTTTTTTTGAGACGGAGTCTCGCTCAGTCGTCTAGGCTGGAGTGCAGTAGCGCAATCTTGGCTCACTGCAACCTCCACCTCCTAGGATTTAAGCGATTCTCCTGCCTCAGCCTCCCGAGTAGCTGGGACTACAGGCGCATGCCACCACGCCCAGTTAACTTTTTGTATTTTTAGTAGAAATGGGGTTTGATATGTTAGCCAGGATGGTTTCAATCTCCTGACCTCGTGACCTGCCTGCCTTGGCCTCACAAAGTGCTGGGATTACAGGCATGAGCCACCACGCCCGGCCAAGTCTTTAGGTTTTATAACATCGTCCTCTTTTTCATGTTTACTTGTCAGCAGAAAATGTACAGTGCTAATTGAGGGCTCCCGTTTCGAGTGCAGTGGAACTCCTTTCTACTGCTGACTCAAGACAGACTGGCCGATAACCCCATCCCACCTTCCGCTGCACAGGACAGCTGTGTATCATGGGGAATTTACTATCATCTTTCCTTTTTGGTTTAAAGTGGAAGGTAATTTATTAGATCAAATTATCTTTGACCTCCAAGAATTCCAAGTCTTAGTGAAAATGAAAACAAGTGTTTTATTTATTTATTTGGGACACAGCCTTGCTCTGTTCCCAGGCTGGAGTGCAGTGGTGTGATCTCGGCTCACTGCAACCTCTGCTTCCGGGGTTCAAGTGAGTCTCCTGCTTCGCCCTCTCAAGTAGCTGGGAATACAGGCATGAGCCAACACACCTGGCTAATTTTTGCATTTTTAGTAGAAATGGGGTTTCACCATTTTGGCCAGTCTGGTCTGGAACTCCTGGCCTCAAGAGATCTGCCCGCCTCGACCTCCTAAAGTGCTGGGATTACAGGCGCAAGACACCACACCCGGCCTAAAACCAGTGTTTTAAAAGACTGTTCTGCTCTATCTTTGCGTCTCAAAATGATGTCTTGAAAGAATCTCCACCCTCAAGAACAATTTTACTTTGTTTGTTTCTCTCAAGCCTCTGGAGGTAAAACTGTTCTCATTCTTTGGCACTTCTACTTCAGATGAGTCTGCACCATCAGGTCACAGGCCCTATTCATCTTTCTCAACCAACCTATATATATAGGTTTAGGCTTTTCAAATTCTCCAGCTAATTCAATCATTTCAGCAAATGATTTCTCCGGTCCTGAGGAAGGAGCTGTACACGAAGTGGAGGGATACTGACACATCTCCCCGGGGGACAGCAGACCCTGTGAGAACCACACTCCTCAGCCTACACAAGCCCACAGCTCAAGCAAAGAGGCCCAGTGGGGACTGCGACTCATCACAGAGTTTGCCCATCCTTTAGTTTCTCGAGAAGGCTGCCAGGTTTCAATCTTATCTCACTGGGTACATACAACACAGACATTAAACGACAAGGTATTGAAACAAAAATTCTACGCTTTCCACAAAAGCCAACCAAGAATGGTGGCTTAAAGACCTAATGCAGAAATCTGCTCCCCTGACCTCCTCTCTCAAATCTTACTGAAGCATCTAATTTGGTTCCTTCCATCAGAAAACAGTCTACCAGGCCAACTGCTGTGCTCTGTTCTTTCCCAGCCCTCCAGGAAAGTGTGCACGACATCCTGCCCGCCCAGAGAAGTCCCCCTCTGCCCAGAGTGAATGTCACAGGGGAGCTATTTTAGTCACATCACAGCCCCCAACCCCCGTGGCCCCCAGCTCCATCTCCTGACCTACTAAGACCCCAGCCATTTATTTTTGGGTGTCACTTTCTGTTGCCTCACCCCCTAGCGTAAACCCCAATTTAAATGGCTGGAAGGAAATCAAGAGGAAAATCTGGCCTTAATGCCACAGCATTCACGACTCCTGCAGGAAGAGCATTCCAACAAGCGTTCTGTTGTATCCAGCACAGAAAAGCCACTTAGATATCTGGTCCTTTTGAAAGACAGATTCCGTATCACATTAGCTGGTCTCAGTACAAGCAAGTGCTTTAAAGCCCATGTGAAAAACAGCCTAAGATATTTAAAGAGAAAATCAAGTGGAAAAACTCAAGTGACATGCAGACCATTTTCCAGTTAGACACTGGAAATGCCTTACCTGCTGCTAATGCTGTTGACTTAGGTGGCTCCGTTGGAGTGATTTTGCTCGTCCCAGGGCTTAGAAGTTTTACATAATTAGCTGGGAACCAGCCTATTTGGCGCTTTTTCCCACGGGCCTAGTAAGAAAAAGTTGTATCAAACATTTTTAAAGGTTCATGTTTTATAATACATTTCACTTTATCACAAAGCACTTATGTAAAGCTCACATGTAACTGAAAAACAAATGAAACTAACAGTAAAATCTATGGATTACTAGGTCACAAATGTACAACATCATAGCTAAAATTCAAACGGTGGCAGTCATTGGTCAGCACAGCCCAGAATGTTTTTGCTTGTGCTAGACTGTGTGGATCACAAAATCAGGATATGCCATGGATTGTCTAGCATAGGAAATTCTGCTCATGTAATGCTAGCTCAGCTGTTTATTTCAGGTAATGTAAACATTATGGTTAATGCCAACGCTGCATATGGGTTTTAGGAATAATAACGTAATAATAATAATAATAATAATGGCCACCAATACTCACTGAGTACTTTTTATGAGCCAGGCCCTGTGCATTTATGCACACAACAATTCCAGAAGGAAAATCCTATCATTATTTTAATTTCCAAATGAAAAGTTGAGTGACAGCCCCAAGGCCACAGGCAGTTAGTGGCAAGCCAAGATGCACTCATGTGTCTGCACTCCTATATGCAAGATGACATACATGCGGTACACCCAGAACAGGAGGAAACTAAACATTATTTTCACAAATGTGTAGGCCCATGTGATGGGTAAAGCCACATTTTTCAACGCCATTCCTTTCTCATTTAATTCGATCTGATTCAACATAAGACTCATCTACGGAGTGTTTCTATGCCATGTTGTTAGAGAGGGACAGTAGATGACACGGGGAGTTTATAACGAAGTTGGTGAGGTAGGGCTTGCAGTTATGACACAATCCCATGAAAAGACTCCGGTTAGGGATCATGAGGTGGGCTTTGACTACCCTTCTGTACACCACCAAAAAGAGAGAACCCAAAACTTCTTGTGCATATACACACACGTATGTATACACACACACACACACACACACACACACGTCTAGAAACAAGGCTCTGATCAAAACAGCTATCTCTGGGAACAAGGGTGGGAGGGAGACGTATTTATCCCCTTGTACCATTTGAATTTTAAACCATGTGACTCTAATTACCTGTTCCCAAAATAAGGAAATAAAACTAAAAGAAAACTTCTACCACACCACCTCTGCCCTCCTACCTGCCAACTTCTCAAGAAGGACACCTCTGGGTCACTTTTAGAATACAGAGCAGGTTTTTGTTTCCTTGAGGTCTGATAGATTTCATGCCCTTGGCTCAAGGACTACAACTTTTATGTTCACAGTGAACCTGCCGATGACTGATGCCATCTGTTTACAGGTTTCCACACGCTTATCTACCAAGTGTACCATCATTCCGCTAGCAATGACATCACTCTTTCCCACACTCCTGCAACTGCACGAGGGCAGAACACAGACCTCACTGGTGTTTCATTTGTGGGTCCACACTGAGAGTCACTCTGGTGACAGAACCAGGAGCTTTCCCAGGCCATGGCAACTCAGTCACCTTATTGTAAATCCTAAGAACCATTCAAACTCTCACTTAAGCACAGTGCTAGAGGTATGGGGACTGGAAAATATGGCCGCTGTCTCCAAGGGGCTTGTCAGCTACATGTTGAAATAAGAAATGTGCACGAATAGCAAAATACTAAAGAGTGGTGCAGGCATGGCGCCACCACTGGAGCTCAGGGGAAGGAGACGGTGCTTCTGGTTGGGATGGTCACAGAGAGCTTCCAGAAGTGGGAAATGCAGCTCTTGTGGAATTGGAGAGGTAGGAGTCAGTTGACTCCTGGGGAGAAATGTCATGAACAAGGGCAGTGAGGCAGGAGAACAGGGGATGCTGTTGTTTCAAAGGCTGGAGTGGAGACGTCATTGCTCAGTGCTAAGGCGTGAGGCTGCACTGGGGAGAGGGGCCCCGCAGGCGAGGAGGAAAGGCGATGGGAGTCTCCCACGTCTCCAAAACAGGATGGGAACATGCTGATGGCAGGGCCGATGGGTGACACAGCACAACTCTAAGCAGGAAGTGGGAGCTGAGGGTCTAAGGAGGCCTCTCCCTCCCCAGCACAGGAGCGGGCATGCTGACAAAAAGAATGGATTTCCAGGCCTCCAGAGGTCAGATTCCTGAAACAGTGAGTAATACCTGGCCAGCACTTCTAGAAAGGACGTTTATGGGTGTCCACCAGTGAGCTCCCCAGGGGAAGATTTGACTTTGGCTACACTCCAGGTTGCGTCTTCTATTCTGGCCAAGATGTGTTTCTTACATGTTCAGCTCTCCAGTGCGGCTCTTCCTGTCCTGGCCTCAGGCTTGCCTCCACAGAGTGGATAGGGGACTGTGTGAGACCCAAGGCCTTCTCAAGCAGGGCCTTCCTCCTTCCTGTTCCTGCTGTTCCAATCCCCCATTCCTCAGAACCCCAAGGGTCTGTCTTCTGAGGCTAGCCTACTGTACGGCAATGGTTTCCTGCCTCTCTCCCCCTTCAAACTTACCTAGTTCCACAGGGTCCTGCTTATGGGCAAACACCAGCTGATTGGGGAAGTCAGTCTACAGGCCCACTAGTGGGCACCAAAGGGTTCCCACAGGCCCCTTCCTCACAAAGCATTCCAGAAACCATTCCTTTCTGTATCCGGCCCAGCCTTATTGAGGCCCCCTGTGTTACGCAGCAGAAACCTACATTCAACAGAGGCTAGACAGACGGATGGCTGCTGGGAAATTTAGCCCTTCCACAGGCCCCAGGCAGGCAAGCCAGGGAGCAAGCCCCGTCCTTCACTGAGCTATGAAGTGGGTGCCCAGGTGCCCGCCTGGCTGTTTGAGGCTCATCTTTGCTTTGGATGGGGGAGGATGTGGGGAGGGAGACAAGCTCTCTGTACGAAAGTCAGCTGGCTTACCTCTCAAGTAACTGCTATGTAACTTTTTTTTTTTAAGACGAAGTTTCGCTCTTGTGACCCAGGCTGGAGTGCAATGGCGCGATCTCGGCTCACCGCAACTTCCGCCTCCTGGGTTCTGGCAATTCTCCTGCCTCAGCCTCCTGAGTAGCTGGGATTACAGGCACGCGCCACCATGCCCAGCTAATTTTTTGTATTTTTAGTAGAGACGGGGGTCTCAGCATGTTGACCAGGATGGTCTCGATCTCTTGACCTCTTGATCCATCCGCCTCGGCCTCCCAAAGTGCTGGGATTACAGGCTTGAGCCACTGCGCCCGGCCAAACTTTTTAAAGGCAACTTTTAATTTAGAAATGATTTCAAACTCACAAAAAAGTGGCAAGAATAAGAAAAGCATACAGAACAACTGCAGGCCCTTTACCCGAATTTACCTACTGTCAACACTCAATGCCAGCTGCTCCCTCATCTGTGCGCTTTCTCTCCCCCTCTTCTGTAAGCTCTTTTTCTGAATCATCTGATTGCAAGTTGCTTACATCTTAACTCTTTACCCCTAAATACTTCAATGTGTATCTCCTAAAAATAAGACTATTCTCTTATATGACCACAGTACAGTTATCACTATACAGTAAATTTAACACTGGTACAACAATTCTGTCTAATCTAAGCATCCATAACCTGATTTTGCCTGTTATCCCAATAATGTCCTTTCCAGCGTGGTTTCCTTTCACACAGGACTGAATCTAATACTGCAGTCAGTCCTCACGCCTCTTTAGTCCCCTTTCGACAGGTTTTGTCTTTTATGATCCTGACATTTTTGGATGTCCCTCCCTGCAGAGCTGCACACACATGACATCTACTGGTCTCCCCGCTGCTGATCATTCTGATCACCTGATTCAGGTGTTGTCATAGTTCTCCACTCAATAATTACTGTGTTTCCCTGAAAATCACAAGCAATCTCTGGGGGTCTCTTCAAGACCATGCACATTTTCTGCTCCTACTGAAAATTTCCTGTAGATTTGGCATCCATCAATGATTCTAACAAGTTTTACCATGAGGGCTGTGTAACAGTAATCTTTTTAAAGCATCTTTGTCTCTGGAAATGAGACTTATAGTAGGTATCTGGAATAGTAAAACGTATAACAAGAAGATATGATTAATGCATACACACGCACGCACATACATGCACACAGGCGAACTAAAAATACTATAATGTATGGATGTGGCTTTGAATGCAAAGAAACCTGCTACTGTGCCACACCTTCTAACTCCACTGATGAAAAGCTCCACTCTCTAATGCCAAGACACTTAAGGACGATGCTATGCAGGCATCCCTTGTCATATGAGTTCTCACTATGCCAACACTCACTATCTGAACTCAGGGATGGAACAGATATGTTTTCATATGAGCTCCTGGCTCTCAGAAATCTGTTACTGGCTGCCTGAAGCTTGGGAACTAAACAAATACAGAAAATGTGGCATCTCCTATTACCCAAATACAGAATTTAGGCAGTGAGGGGTGATTTGTACTTTATAATAAAATAGCATCCCTTTGAGATTTTGCTTATTGAAACTTGGATAGAGAACTGTAAATAAGTAGAAAAGACACTGACTTGCAGCTCTCCTTCCCACCATCCACCTGGGTTCTTTTTTCGGATCAAAATCAGCTGACCAGGGGCAAGAGTGAGCTGCTCGGGGCCGGTGGCGGTGTATGAGGCAATAACCTGGGCAATTTCTGAAAAACAAGATCAAACATTGCGGTGCACTGTTAGAGTCAGCAGGAGAAAAGGCCAAGAAGATGCAGGCGCCTCCCAGGTTCACAGATGAACATCATCAAAACCAATGTATTGGGCTGGATTTCTATCCAACGAGTAAGGCTCCCTGAATTGCCCCTGTTCCCAGAGATATCAAGCAGACACAGCATTCAAGAGCTTGGCTGATCCTCCAGCCCTCAGTGGGCAGCAGGCTCCCTGGTCATCTCACGAAACTAACTTACCAACTTCCCTCCATAAGGTCTGCTCCTTGCCCACTCCTGGCACCTTCTGTCACATCCCTCCCATAATTACTGCAAATGCCCTGAGGCTAAGGGTGGGGCCTCATTCGCCACCTGCCCCCAGCACAGTAGCACTCGGTGACTAAACTGCTAAAGTGACTAAAGGACTCAACAGCTTTTCCAGCTGCCAAGTACAGTAGAAAGAGAAAGGCTATTTTCTTCTGAAACTGCTGGGAGCCTGGCAGGAGCTTATTTCTATGTTGTTGCTACAGATTTTCACTCCCAATAACACAGCCCCCTTCTTTATGGCTCACATGTTGACAGTGATCCCTGAATATCAGGTGTGAATTGTGACAGGGCAAATTTTTTCTTTTTATTTCATGTTATAGGAGGGACCTGAAGTTAAGGGAATTTTATGCAAAACCAATTCAGCACAGGGAAAAAAATGTACACAGTTCTGTACTTTTCCTGAATGTTAAAAGTCCCATGGGAAAAATTCCAGCAGTACCACAAACCAGGCTCTGAAACACACATTTCCCCTAGCCCAGGAGATTCTGAGTAGGAAAAGACAGAACCCTTCTGTGCCTGAGTTCTGGCACATCTGCAGCTACTGCCTTCTGAACTTCTAGAAGCAATACAGAACAAACTGTTCTACTCCTCTACCCTTGCTCTCCAAGTGTGGTTTGTGAAAGAAAGGAGAAAAGAAGGAAAGAAGGACAGAAAAAAAAAAAAAAGAAAGAGAAAATGAAGTAAAGAATGGAAAGGAAGAACGCAAAAAGGTCCCATGTTTTGATGGGATTTCCTACTTTTCCACTCACTCCAGGGAATGAGTAAGACTCTGGCCCTTAAGCAAGCCGCTCTCATCCTGTTCTGCATGCTATCGGGGTCGCCACCAGGACAGAAGCACTCGGAGATCACACTGCAGGCCTGGCTCTGCCTGAGGCTTTGGAGAGCTTGGGGCAAGCAGGAAAGGCCAGAGCACAGTCTACTGCCCCAGCCTAGGCTCTGACTGGGAGCTCCAGCTGGGAGGCCTACACTGGGAGGAGGACTCTCCTGCAACACACCAAAGACCAGCTCTTGATTCCAAGAGTTTATGATTTGGAGAAAGACCAAACTAGTGTCCTATTTGGCACTGGATGTTCTTGCTCCTCATGGGACCTGGCATACAGCGATCTGCCCCAACATTATCTGCAGTCTTTCGTGTCCTTTCTTGCTAGGAAATAAAGCCCACCTGGGCATCATCTATGAACTATCTGGACCCTCTGGAATGACAAATGTCCAAAACTTAGAAAACTTGCAGTTAAAACAGAGATTTGATGGGGTGGTCCAATGTATCCCCATACACTGATTGTATTTATCTGACTAAAATAAAATCCTAGACTATGTGAAACCTCTCTTCCTTTTTCTTGCCATGTAAGTCCAGTTGGAGCTGAGCACAGACAGACAAGCAAATCCATCGCTTGGCATTTCAGTAACTGTTTCAACCTATAATTTCCTAAGGATATGTTAGCAAAAAAGCTCCAACGTCCTAGACCAGGAAGACATGCCACAGAAACCATATTATTTCACATCCGCTTCTTTCTTCTCTTTTTTGTGCTACTATTTATAGCACATATGATTTTATTGAAATCAACTAAAACGCTTTGGATTCAGAGGTGTGACTATAATTTTGTACCTTCAATGTGTACCGAGGAAATCCATCTGATGGTTTCTAAATTAATGGAACCTACACTCAGATAATATCTGTTGCTCCTCTAATCTTCTCCACTGTTTTGTGTCCTGGAAATGCATCGTTTGGAAATGAAAAGGGGCTAACCAAGCCTAACAGGAAGACTGAGAAGCAGCTGAGCCCAATCCTAGAGCTCCATGTATTATAACTTCTCAGCATCTCGCTTTCTTTTTTTTTTTTTTTGAGATGGAGTCTTGTTCTGTCGCCCGGCTGGAGTGCAATGGTGGAACCTCAGCTCACTGCCACCTTGGCCCGCTGAGTTCAAGCAATTCTACTGCCTCAGCCTCCCGAGCAGCTGGGATTACAGATGTATGCCACTATGTCTGGCTAATTTTTGTATTTTTTGGTAGAGACTGGGATTCCCCATGTTGTCCAGGGTCATGAGGACTCTCCTCCAACGCACCAAAGACCACCTCTTGATTCCAAGAGTTTATGGTTTGGAGAAAATGATGCACCTGCCTTGGCCTCCAAAATTGCTGGGATTACAGGCATGAACCACTGTGCCTGGCCTCACCTGAATTATTTCTCGACAACCCAAGAGAACACTGTCAGGTAACGGCTCCACTCCTTACGTGTGAAGTAACAGACAAATCTCATAACCAAGTAAAATTATTAATGGATTCCAAGGAGAGGACTTACTCTCCGTACTCTCAGGAAAGATTCTTTTTATTTTAGGATCTATTCCTAATCGACAAAGATGGGGAGCAACTATCAATTACATTCAAAACATTGAAAAGTAAGCATCAGGATTTGTAACTTACCAGGTTTTTTTCCTAAACTCCCTGTTTTCCCAGCAGTTCCAGAGCCCTTAAAACAGAGCAAAAGGTCTCATTTGCATGCTGAAGTTTTGATCATGCAACTTAAAGAACGATTAATGATGATACAAACCCACGGAGCCCCGAAGACCCTCTTTTCATTCTGGGAAAACACAGCACTGCATCACCTGACACAAGGATATAGATCAGGAAAACATGGGACAAAACAAGTACTTTCAAACGTGGCTTTTACTCATTTCCATAAGAGGAAGAGACAGCAGAGTATGGGGCCCTGCAAGAGCCCAGTGGGCTCCAGTATTGAGCGTGCTGAGCGCAGGTATTTCTTGGACCTGGTCGAATCTACTAGGAGTCTCCAAACTAGGAAGACTGTTAGTCTGCATCCGAAACACTAAGCTCGGGCTTGTTACCATGTGGTTAATTATGACGTATTTCACATATAAAAAGTACAGGGAATAGAACTCATGAGCCTACCACCCAGATTTAACACATTAAAATATTAACATTTGGCTGTATTTGCTTTAGGAGCTTTCTTCTTTAAAAAACTCACGCAGTACAGGGACACCTGGAACCGCTCTCTCCCCGATCCTATTCACCCCTCTCTATCCAAAGAGGCAGTGGCTGTCCTGTGTAGCCTTTCCACCCAATTTCACAGTGTTTATACACTGAAATTTCTCTATCAATGCATAGAGGCAGAGCTTATTTCTTCCCAACTATCAAGCGTTTAAAAAGTGCTCTGGGGTTGAATTCCTCTCTGGGATACTCATGGAATTTTAAACCAGCCGAGTAAGCCAAGAACAGAGACCATGAGAAGCAGGACAGGAGCCAGAATGGAATCTGTTGTTACAAAGTGCTTTATTCTAAATTAATTTATGCTCGAATCTATCTTGCAGTAAATTAAGTATTCCAATTAAAACAAAACAAAAAGCTTAATAAAGTAAACATGAGTTACTGAAAGAATAAAAATATGCCATTTATCTACCAGGAACACAACTTACGGTCTCTTTATCTTGCTTATTGAAATTTAAGAACAATTTAGCAGGAAAAGTTTAGGTTAAATTTTTACTTGATTCTGTTTTCTTTATTAATTATAAAGTTATACAATGGCAATCTCTCGCTATTTTTTAATAGGCTGCATATAAAAAAAAGGAATATCAATGAACCAAGAGTCCAGTGACCAGTTACTTTCCTAGTATGGGCTTAGAATCTACTCCCTACATTCCATAAAAAGAACAAAGCAATTGACAGTACTCAACAGTAGAGTTCAAGTAGTTTCAATGCTCTCTCTTTGAAAAACCACAGCCAGCCCCATGAGCTGGGACAGATTCAGAAGGCCATGTTCTGTCCTCCCTGCACCTGTAAAGCCTCCCAGACTGTGTGCCCCAGACCTGCCCATACAGAGAAGTGAAGCAGGATGGGACAATCCTCCCCATGCCTAGACTTCAATTCTGGTATCTGAAGCTGGGTCTGGTGTTAAGTTTGGTCGAATATTTTGCTTTTACACTGAATTCTGTATCCAACTATAACAAAGGAGCTGAGTTTTTATTCATTATTGAATAGCATGGCTAAATGTGTATCTAAACATTTTTAGTACTGGTAGTTCTTCTGTCGCTAATAATTTAAGACTGTGGTTAAGAAAGTACCTTACAACTCCACTTACCTTAAAAAAAGAATCACTGCATGTTTTTCTAAAGTTTACTTTGGATGGTTTTATTAAAGTAGAATTTCTTAAAATACGTTACAAGTATTTCTTAAAATACGTTATAAGTAATGGCTTTTGTATTTTAATTGATCCAAAAAGTAAGGTCACTTTAAGAGTTTTCATGCATGGTAGTAGACACCGAGTTGGTTTTTAGTGTTTTACCCAACTCCCCTGAAATATCATCTGTATTACTGTCACTGGACTCAATGTGCTAGCCTGGAGAAGAATCTAATTCTCCAGGTCTGAAGAGTCGAATATGCCAGCTGTCTCACAGGGCAAAAATTGTTTCCTTCCAGACTTCTGCTAAATTCTCCAAGGGTGGGCAGGCTTACCTAAATCCATCCATTAGAATTCCACCTAGCTGCTCTCAAGACCGCAGCAAGAAAAAACAAAAAACAAAACAATGCCACCCCTTAAAAAAACAAAATCCAATCAAATAAAATCATTTCTGGGAGCTGCAGGTGAGGTGAGCAGGCCAAGGGCAGGACTACTGGAGCAGTGCACCAGGCCCAGCCTCTCCCCCAGAGCAGCTCCAAGCACAGGGGCCCATGGATGAGTCCAGGATACACCACTAGCATTTGAAATAGAGAACTTTGTCCACCTGCTTACTCCTGAGAAAGCAGCCCCTACAGGTTCCCTGCCAGCCTTTTCTCTCTCAGTACCTAGGAGGTATGAGGAGAAAAAGAAAGTAACTGTGAATTGACTGTTAATGCTTAAAAAAAAATTGAGTCAATTCTTATTGGTTTTTCAAAATGTGCGTTGGATCTGTTAAATGACTACATTTATACCCTGAAACTCTCCACTAACGTGCAAGTGGCTCCTACAAGACAGACTCCCATACTCGGTGGTAGGTCCACCCCACCATTCCATTAAACTTGCACTATCCTGAGACCATAGTTTATGCGATCAAATTTTTAGGGCTCTATTTAACAACAGTAGGAACATTTCCAGTTTATACGGATAACAGCACTTAAATTCAGTCCTAATCAACGGAAATTCTAAGGCCTAGCCAAAGTGTACCCATCTCTTAGATCTTGTCTTTCTACTGTATGGGCAAAAATAGAAATTCTAAAAACTTTCTAATATCCAATATTCTGGGGCCAGTATCACCAGAATACTTCTGTTTATACAGGTAAAATATTGCTATCTTTCTTGGGGCACCTAAAAATCAATGACCATAATGATCTAATCAAGAAAGTTTACTCTAAAGCATAAGTCAATTACATGCAGAAAGAGAGATTAAGACTGAACATTATCTCCCAGCTGATTCGGACCAGCCCCGTCACACTCAGTCTTACTTAGCACTGATGTGCTCTGCTTGAGGGAGGCCAATGCTTACCCTACAGCGCCAAATGACAAGATCAAACAATGACAGGTCACACTGGATTTACTGTCACATTCCAGAACTTAGCAAAACGCAACAAAGCTCCACTGTCAAATATCATGTGACTCCCCGCAAAGAGAATCGCCACACAGGAAGGGAGAGGAAACAGTTAATGTGGGTTTACCTCTGAATCTTTAAGCCTCACATAGTTAGAAGGGAAGACTCCGGACTTGTCGCCCACTGTTCCTGTCCACCAGTCACCATCTTTCTTGGTAACCAAAATCACATCCCCTTGCTGAAAGGTTAAATCTCCTTGCTCAGAACTCTCGTAAGTGTACATGGCAATAAATTCTGGTGGGGAGAAATATTGAGATACGGAGAGAGCTTGATTGTTTAAAGAAATCCCAGACAGCTTTGCAAAAGCAAGTTTATGAATAAGAAATTAGGACAAGATTCCATTCAAGAGAAGGGCTAGTCACAGATAAAATACAGAGCTGCAGAATGCCCTGGGCTCCATATTTCCCCAGTGTATATAAAAGTTCAGTAGCTGCAGACAGGGAGACAATTCCTGGGAAGACCCAGAGACAGGAACAAACAACCAAACTGCATGTTTACCAACACCTGATTATTTATAAGTGACCTACCATTTGGCATCATGATTTCTTTTTGAATGAAAATGGTTTTTACATTTAGTTTTGATTAACAGTTACATAGTACCTACTCTGTGCTGAACACTGGGTCAGATGCATTCATATGCAGGCTCTTGGTAAGCATATTAAATATCTGTATTTCAGTTTTGAGGGTACCACATTACAGTTTTAGAAAATTGTTAGATAGGATATATTCTCTGTATAAATTAAACAAGACATACTTTTCATTATTCAAGTGCCTGAAAACTTATGTCCTATTGTGTCATATACACAGTATGACAGGAAGCTGTTAGAACACAAAATGAGTTACACAATATTATTTAGTTAAAAATGGGCATCTAGTTGTCATTTAAGAGCACAAACAGGTAGAGAGGACTGATGATAAAAGGAATGCCTATCCAATTCCAGAAAGCCTTTCAACAAGTTAAAAAGACAAATCACAGTTTATCACATTTTATTATTCATGTAATTTAGTCTTAAAAGATAACAACTAGTGTTCTTTCGTGTCTTGAATTTGAAGGGTGTACAGTACAGAAGAACCTTTTCTTTTTGATTATACGTAGAACTTTGTATCACTCTTGGTTGATTTTATTAAGGCTTAGAACCAAATCACACTCTCAGAAAGACCACCAGACACAAAATCCTAGACGGAGGTTCCAAGGAAAGGTTTACAGAAAGATGCACATGTTTCTTATTTCCACTTTTTCTCCATTTTATCCTAGGCCTTTGTATGTATTTTTTTAAAGCAACAGAAAAATCACCATTTACCCAAAAAGTTCATTTTTATAATGGGCAATGTATATTTCTCTCTAAACCTCAGATGATATTCCTTTAACGTCAAGCCTCGAGTTGAGTACGAGACCAGAATTTTGTATGGAGAACTCCTCCAGTTAATTATCAGAGCCTCTGCAGGAGGTACGAACGAAAACTAAAACAAACAGACAAAAACACGAAAACCTCTAACCCCTGTGCTCACATGGGCAGCCCCTGGAGCAACAAGGGGCCTCCTTCAGCGCCAGTGTTGACCTGTCAGCCCCGAGGCCAGCAGCAACTGCTGGTGGAGAGTCCTGGGCCCCATGGCAGACACAGGTCATTCAAACGTCCCAGGGAAAACAGAAGACTCTCTGTCTTTAGCCCTGAAGCGCTGGTAACACATACCTCCACAGTGAACATTGGAAAAATGATTTCCCACACAAGGAAATCAAAGTTTGGTGGCTTTAATAGGGGCATTCTTTTTCATTAATAGACTCATTTTTCTGATTTCTCCATAGTCTGACCCTTCCCTTTTGACTGTGCTCCCTGTTACTGTTCTTTAGATCACATTTGGCCATTTAAGACGGGATCCTTGGCAATCAATACTTTCCTCAGTGATTCCTCAACTTCAAAGTCACTTGCTTTAAGATGGATCCAAATTTTGAAGTAACTTTCCAAATGCTCAAGAAACTTCAGAAACGTGAACTCTGGCTGAACTAGGTACTGTAGTATAAAATATAAAGGACACTGGAAAGACTGAGGCTGGCCTTGCCCTGCCTTGCACTAAGGCATCTGCGGGTGGCTTTAAGGGGACCATGAAAGCCAGAGACGTGATGATGTATAGGCAGAGGTTCCTCTTCAGCTACCCTTCTCATGAGACATTTCACAGAAGGCACTGGCCATCCCCAAGCCAGTATTTTAAGAGCGACCCCAATCGATCATCTATTTTATCTGGTTTATAGTTTACTTTAAATTTGATTATGTTCAATGTGATATTAACAAGAGGCTCAATAATATTTGTAAATAGCTTTTCTCAGAATTTCTAAGGCTAATGTCCTCCCAACCCTTCACAAAGCTAGTAACCTTCCAAATATTTCTAATACCAAAGTCATTTCAAAATGGCTGTAATAAATACAAACAAGATCAGAATTTAACTCTATTTTGTTAACCAATTTTAAGTGTATGTGTGGTTCATTTGTGACCTATTTATTGAGGCCTTAGTACATGTTTCAAAACAAATAAATAAACATTCCTCCATACTGCTATTGGATGAGGATGCTCATACTTTATGTGGCTTTATTACTAATCCAGGGAATGAAGCAAAAATAAAATAAAAGCAGTAGACATTTACTGTGCTTTGTTCTAAACACCTTCTGCATGTTATCTCTTTATCCTTGTAATAATTTTCTATCTCAAGGGGTAGTTATCATGCCCAATTTATAGACAAGGAAGCTAAGGCATAAACAAAATAGTACAGTTACTAGATGGAAGAGTCAAGATAAAAACTCCAGCCCTCCACTGAGTCTTGACCGGTTATCATACACTGAAGGTTTTTGTTGTTGTTGTTGTTTCTTATTTTTTGGTGAGGTACATAATTTGCTTTTTAGTAAACTGACTGCATGTGCTGTGTTTAAAGGAGCTTTTTGCCTTGTTACCCTTCCAGTGCGTAAAAAAGTCATTAAGATGATGAGAATGTATAAAGGGAACTCTGCTAATCATCATTTTCATGGTAATAGTAAAAATTAGGTCCTCGATTTGTTTAGTGATAAGGATTTATAGCTCTGCTATGAGCTAAAAAATTTTTTTACTTTTAAAAATCCTCTTGAAAAAAGAACACTGTTACTGTGAGTCTGAAATGCCATTATACCTTAATCCTTGCTGTCTCCACCTAAAACAGCTGTTTTAATCATTCTCTTTTTCATTAGGCAAGGTTTCTAATGAATGCAACAATCTCATTATGGCAAACAAACTAAATAAAACATTCTATTCTCATGTAATGTATTCAAGGAGAATTACTATAGAATTGGTTAGTTACAGCATCAGTTAACACTGCTCAGACCACCTACACAGAAAACCCATCTAACTCAAGGAGTACTCTCCTTGGATGTGACGATGACTGTATTTAGTATAAAAAATACATGGTAAAATACATGAGATTTTTACCATGAGGGTATGAATTATGTAGGTTTTGGTCAGTTGGCATCTATATAATATTTATGATTACGTCACCAAGTGGAGATTGGGAAAGAAAGCAATTATTTGCGTAATAAACACTCAAAATGATTTTTTTTAGGCCTAAATTATCTGGTTTGGTTGTTTTCATAGAGCAAAGAAACCGATCTTCGGTTTCATTTGGGATGGTACAGACAGCATTCATGTTACTGTGAGAACTCTACTGGTCTGTGCAGTTTTAAGATGAAATACTTATCTATATAAGTCAGATGAGACTAGACTATGTTAGGTGAAGCAATGACCACAATTTAGCTACAGAGAGGCTCGGAAAACTTGATTCTTAGTAAACTGAATGGGTCTCTTTTAGAAGTCAAAGGTTTCATAATAAAATATAATTAGAAAATTCAGTTTTTGATGATTAATATATTTGACAGTATTTTCCATAAAGTATTCTGATTTTGTAAAGAGCTAAACTTTCATTTTACTTTAGTTTACTATATTGATCATAAGTGCAGTCTACCTTAAGATGAAATTCAATCTCACTTCAAACATTTACACAATGTCCTTGATCCTTTTGAAGAACATAATACAACTCAGACCCTCACCTTCTCCCGAAACGGCCGGCTTGGCTGCTGGAGAGGCTACTCGCTTTAGACTAGCAGGACTCTCGGAGGAACCAGACTCCATGCTGCAACAAGGGAAGAAGAGAGTATTTTAATTTGTCTTAAAAGAAAATAGTACAAATGACACTGATTTTTCTGTTAAAACTCTTTGACTTTTAAAACTATAAATAATCCAGAGCTGAAGTAGTTGTACTTAGCTAGATTAAAAACACATAATAAGGTACTACAGAAGCATGATTCTAAGCTCGCATTCTTCTTCTTAAGAGATGGGGTCTCGCTATAATGCCCAGGCTGGAGTCCAGTGGCTATTCACAGGCGCAATCCCACTACTGATCAGCACAGGAGTTTTGACCTGCTCCATTTCCGACCTGGGCCGTTCACCCCTCCTTAGGCAACCTGGTGGTCCCTCACTCCCTGGAGGTCACCATATTGATGCCAAACTTAGTGCAGACACCCAATCAGCATAGCGCACTACAGCCCAGAACTCCTAGGCTCAAGCGATTCTTCCACCTCAGCCTCCCGAGTAGCCGGGGCTACAGGCACGTGCCACTGTGCCCGGCACTTGCATTCTTATTTTTCAGCACTTTGCTATACTGGACATATAGCCTATGTACAGTTTATTTCAAGGGATGACTGACTGAGAGATGCTCACTGAATAATTTGCTATTTTCATCTTGTTAAAGCTCATAATTTGTTTTGAACATCAATATGGTTGAAGGAATTAAAATAACCACCTTAAAATTCCATGCTGTAAAAACCTAATGAAAAAGACAATTAAGTCCTTCTGATCATTTCCCCAAATGCTTTGCGTTTCTAAGTATTCACATATATCTGGTACAGTGCTGGGTAATAAGCATCAAGAGAGTCATAATCTCCAACTAATGCACAAGAGTGTTCCAGATATCAGAGCTGAATTCCTTCTTGTGTAAGGCAATGAAAAACAAGACAATAGGTTTCCACAAGGGAAGAAAAAAATGCACTCATCTATAAGAGGCTCCCTTTTTGTACTCCATATATTCTAACGTTTGCAGTTAAAAGATCTAGAAGACAAACTAATCCTGCAACTCCTGTGAATCTTAACTAGCGCAAACAGTAATTTAATGCCTAATACTGTTTTCATCAAATACAAGCAGATAAATACAAAAATACCTTGTAGATTTCCTTATGGGCCCTGAAATGAGTTTCACGTAAGACTTGGGGAACCAACCCTTCTGACCTTGAACTTCTCCAAACCACCACATGTCTTGTTGTTCCAGGACGGTGATGACATCATTTTTGTTAAAATTTAAATGGTTGTCTTTTTTGGCTCTCCACGGATACAGGGCTTGAGCTTGCAGACCCTCCACCTTTTCACCCTTGTGTGGAATAACGTAAAAGACCTCTCGTTATGTTGTGGTTTGTTATCAATTAGGGCAGACGTGAACATGGCACCTCTCCAACAAGCATAGGCCAGACAAGCACGCACAGCCACAAAGGGCCCTGAGGTAGCACAGCAGGAGTGCTGGATGCTTCACTGTTTCCCAACAATTGTTTACTTCCAAAAGTGGAGGCAAAAGCCTGCCAGTCTCTTCACAAAGTCATTGTCTGACCATCTATAACTCTCTATTTCAACAAGCCAGGCGGTCACAATTATTCCGTTGCATCTGGCTGTGTGCCTTTTATATTTTGGTTCTATTTTCACAGTCAAGTTGCCCAGGACACCTCCACATTTCCAATCTGACTGGTATTTTTAGTGGAGGATTAACACTGGAGCAGAAATTTTATGAGCTTTCATGAGATCATTAACTGGCATTTTAGTTTAGGTGGACCCAGGGAAATGGGTCCTGTGCTGGATTATGCTTGTTTTAGTTCCTTTTTAGAGAAAACAGGGATTCGGTTAGCATAACTTCATTGTAATTGCCATTTATTATACATTTACATGCACTGCCCCATTAGACTAAAAAAATGAAAAAAAACAGTCTCTGCTTCCCCCAAATAATTTAGGGAAAAGCACTTTATTAACCATAAAACTCTATATAGATGGACAATATGGTATCATTAGCAAGTAACTCACAAATAATGGGGAAGAAAGAAAGAAAAACAACCAAATATACCACCTGGCAGAATGAAATATACTAAAAAGGAGTTCCTACTATTCACTGTAGGAATAAAGAAAAAAGAGGGATGAATTCTGCCTGGGGGCAGCAGGGTAAATTTCACAGAGCGGGCAGCATCTGAGATGGGCCATGAAGGATGATAAGGACTTTGACAGCTAGGGCTTCGGAGGAAGGGCACTCCAGGCTGAGGGCGCAGCATGGGAAAAGGCCTCGTGGTGGAACACTGCAGGGGCTCCGGGAAGAGAAGCACAATCCGGGGCTGCATGTGGCCTAGTCTCATGGAGGGGTGGAGGAGGAGGTCAGGCTGGAAAGGCAGGGTGAGGCATTTATTATCTTTTAAGAAGCTATTGCATCAAACCACTACAATGTCTTAAAGCATTTAGTAAAAAAATGAAACATCAACTCTCAATCACATATGTGAATAGAAAAGAACAAAGGATAATGCCTACAGATAGATACTTCTGAACCAATTTGTACTTGCCTTTGTAAGTTATTTCTATTATGCTGACATTAAGTTATGATTATGTCTGATAAGCAGAGAATTTACAACAGGTCAAGTAGTTTTAGCATCTATGTGCTAACCTCTAAATCCCGGTCTTCATGTGAACTTGCCTTAAACTCACAACATCCCTATCCTATTCCCTTCCATTTAGCTGTACATTCACTCCTTCAAGTCCCTCAGAGCTGAGGAAGTTTCCCTGGATTTTGAACACCCACTAAGACCATATATTCCTGACCTTGCATTTTTCCTCGCCGCGGACCTGCTGCCTGCGTAGCCCCGCATCCCACAGCCCGTCTGCACTGTCTAATCCTCTTGGCCACTTCACTGATTTCTCTAAGCATGGACCCCAGGGTCAGCCTTTCAACTGTGCCCTCTCTGGCACTTCAGAATCTCTCCCCCTGAGAAATCTTCCCCATGTCTGCTTTGTCAACCTTTTCACATCGATGGGCCCTAATGACCCCAGCCTGGGCTGGATGTGGACTCTGGTTATGAATCCCAGGTCTGTCACTTACTAATTTTCGGACTTTGGCAACTGTTTAATCTCTCTGAATCTCCATTTCCACATCTGTAAAGTAGAGATGATACTTTCTCCAAAAAGCTATTAAAGTTTAGCAATCCCATGGTAATATAAGACGTGTGTAGGTGGGGAGGGGAAGAAGTTTAGTAAGATCCATGCACAGTATTGCTATGATAGAAATAACAGTAGTGAACTATATTACTATTATTATTCCTAGTCCCAAGCTGTGAAGTATTGCTAGAGAAAGCTGAGGCAATGTGCAATGACCTATACTATAGACTCAGGTTAAAATAAGCCTGGCAATTCTTAATTCTTTTGTTTTTTCCTTTTCTTTTCTTCTTTTGAGATGGAGTCTTGCTCTGTCACCCAGAATGGAGTGCAGTGGTACAATCGCAGCTCATCGCAACCTCCACTTCCCGGGTTCAAGTGATTCTCCTGCCTCACCCCCCAACCAGAGTAGCTAGGATTACAGGTGCCTACCACCATGCCCAGCTGATTCTTGCATTCCTTTTTTTTTTTTTTTTTAGTAAAGACGAGGTTTCACCATGTTGGCCAGGCTAGTCACAAACTCCTGATCTCAGGTGATCTGCTCGCCTCCCAAAGTGCTGTGATAACTGGCGTGAGCCACCACACCAGCCCAATCCTTCACTGTTGCCAGATCCCTCATTTGCCTGCTCCCAAACCTCTTCTATGCTCCACAGCCATCTGGGGCTCCCTTTTCACTGAGAATGGTATCATGCGGCCCAGCCTCAACATCTTTCTTGGCTTTATCTTCTCCAATCTCTCTTCACCCTTCCTCACTCAGAAGAAAGCGACTCCCGTCTTTTCTGTGCCTTTACTGTCATCTGCCTTATACCAATTATATCTTCCGACAATTTACTTTTCCATCCCCATCTCCACTGGCAACATGGCTGGTTCTTGCTTTCCCAGAACCTTACACACTGCTCCTTCTCTGTCCTTTTGCAGACCTTTCCACTTTCTTGCTGTTCGTTTCCTTTTATGCCCCAGCAGTGTGGTTTCATCCTTCTCCTTCCCAGGTCACAGAGCTCTAGCTGTCACAATGAATGGTCTCTTCTTTGCCCTGACCACAGTACTTAATAACATAAGTAACCTCCCCACCCCCACCTCCACTTTCTGGAACAACCTCCCTACCGCGTCACTGAGTCACTGTTAACTAAGCATGTGACATGTGCTAAATGCTGAGCTGGGACAGATGCAAAGGAAAGTACCATTTCCTGCTGAGTAGCTCCTGTTCTTCCAGGCTACAGAACACACACGTGCCTGTGGATTTGCTATTTTCTCCCTGAATTCTCTCTCCTTGGACGACCTCACACATTTCCTGAGATCTGATAAGGTTCGCTACGAGAATGGCTCCAATCTATAATCCCAGTCTTGCCCTCTCTTCCACCCTCCAGATCGATGTTCCAACAGCCTGCCAGACAGGGTCCCACAATCACCTTCAACTCAACACATCTAAAACCCAACACTCCCTTTAACTACACATTCATTTCACTCTCTGCCTTCCTCCTTTCCCTTTAAAGTGGACCATTTTCCTCGATTCCACCTTTCCTTCGGCTCCCGCAGGCGTTGTGACTCCAACCTCTTTACTCTCCTCTGCAGTCTCTCCCACGTGCTCTCCTCTTCTGCTTCCACGAGCACCTCCCTACTTGGTGAACATGAACTCGGCTGGGTCTGGGCCTGCCCTGGATCACAGCTAGGTGACAGCAACAGCCCTGACTGGTAGCACTGCCTGCCGGCCTTCCACTCTAATCTTCTTGCATACCACACTTCCGGACGGACCTGCCTAGAGCCTGTGTTTCATCTGGGTATGGATCAGAAACGATCCTGGAACCCCCAGTGCCTCCCAAATGGGCACTTGCTGTTTGGCATGATTATTTCCAGAAATTTCATTATTTTATCATTATTGTATGAAGCAAAAGAGAACTATTCAGAATAACTACCTTTGTCCTTTCAGCATTATTCGTTCTGAGGAGAGTATTTCAGAGCTTCCCATTAACCTTTATTCGGTCTACCTTTTCCAATAAAAACTCAATGGTCTAGACAAATGGAATGGGCCATGATTTTCCTTAAACAGATTCTGACTGTCTGCCTTAAACCCTTTCTCCCAGCATTTTCTGTCTGATATGCCGGCCCTCTCCATTTTCTAGTAAGATCTTACCCACTGGTTAAGATGCAGCTCAAGTGCCACTTCAGCAATAAAGCTTCCTTGATCAACCCAGGCAGGAGAAGTCAACTGTGCCCGACCCCCACCTCTGAACTCCCAATTATTCACAGCAGATTGCTGGCTCCTGAACTGGATTCCCATACTGCCAGCCAACCCAGACACATATAACAAGGCTTGCTTCTAAATGACATTGCCAAGAAGCATTTGCTGAAGTCGCTGGCACTAGATAGCATGCTAAGTCTTCACACTCTCATTGGCTGACTTTACCTGGCCTAGTACAGGAGATGGGGAGGAACCAGTGGCTGTGGCTGGAGTAAAGGCGGACCTCTGCCTTAACTGGCCGGCACTTGGAACAGTGAGAGAGGGCTGGGCTGCCCATGCATCCCAGTTATCCGTTTCTGGTTTCTCATTCGTGCTGGTGGGCCACCTGGAGGGAAAAGCACAACACCATGAATAGCAAGCACTCTCTAATATGCCAGCTTTTTACCCACAGTACAGTGCCAAAAAAAAAGAGAGAGAGAGAGAAAAAGATGGCAACCAAAGAGCCTGTGCAACACAAACCCAGTATATTTATGTGGCTTTCTACAGTTAAAGAACAAGGAGGAGGCTGAGCACAATGGCTCATGCCTATAATCCCAGCACTGTGGGAGGCCAAGGTGGGCGGGTCACCTGAGGTCAAGAGTTCGAGACCAGCCTGGCCAACATGGTGAAACCCTGTCTCTACTAAAAATACAAAAATTAGCCAGGCATGGTGGTAAATGCCTATAGTCTCAGCTACTCGGAAAGCTGAGGCAGGAGAATCGCTTGAACCTGGGAGGTGGACATTGCAGGGAGCCAAGATCACACCACTGCACTCCAGACTGGGTGACGGAGTGAGACTCTATGTTGGGGGAAAAAAAAAAGAACAAAGAGCAGAGGAAAAGGCATTAGGCTTAGGTTTGAGTCTGAGCTTCACATATTAGTAATAACCCCCTCAGGCAAATTATAATATTTTTTCTGAATTTTGATCTCCTCAATGATAAAACAGGAACAATACTGTGCCACTTAAGATTAGCTGTGAGGGTCACATGAAATAGTGACTAGGGAAACACTCTGTAACTGTAAAGCACCAGACAAATATCCTCACTTGATCATTACCAGTTGTAATAACAATAGTTAAATGAGAAAAAAGAAGCTACATGTCACCTGTGGAGCGGGAGCTTCTCAACACCATTTCTCTGACTGATGCATACTGTAGTAAACACCTGGTCATATGCCTGGATGCCAAGCAATTACATGTGTAATCCTGACAGTAACCAGTTGTCTTGGATGCTGGGGACAGTTCTAGTTTTGTGATTTTAATAATTTTAGATAAATAGGCTGGGCATGGTGGTTGATACCTCTAATCCCAGCACTTAGGGAGGCCAAGGTGGGAGGATCACTTGAGTTTGGGAGTTCAAGGCCAGTCTGAGAAACATACTGAGACCTAATCACTACAGATAATTAAAAAATTATCTGGGCATGGTAGCATGCATCTGTGGTCCCAGCTACTTGGGAGGCTTGGGCAGGAGGACTACTTGAGCCCAGGAGGTCAAGGCTGTTGTGAGCCATGGTAGTGCTACTGCACTCCAGCCTGGGTGATAAAGTGAGACCCTGTCTCAAAATAATAATAAATACTTTTAGATAAACATATCTGTGTGAGTGCAGATCTAAAGACAATTTACTTTTTACATCTTTGTAAGATATACAAACAAATCTGAAAATCAAAATAATTCCTGATTTTTGGTTTAGAGAACAAGATGCCCAAAATTATAGCAACAGAGCTGCATACCATACATTTATTGAGGAAGAGTCATCCTGATTTGATCCACAGCAAAAAAAAAAAAAAAAAAATCCTGTAAAGTATGGTATTAGTCTTCTATTTTAGCCTAAGCTTTAGTTATCAGAACTTTTCAGTCAAGATCAAAAGAGGAAGGGAATGCTTCAATTTGGAAGTCAAGCTAATGGAAGGTCATTTTTTTTTTTTAAAGCAGAGATTAGATGGGGGGAACCTTCTTTAGCACCTTCACCTTATTTCATGTGAAAATAAAGTATGAAAAACTTGCTATTCCTTACATCCTCCCCTCCACTCCTCCCGCCCTGGGTAATTATTCTTTCTTCCCTCTATTGGTTCCATCTGATCCTTCTCCAGCAATAAATCTGGATTCCTTGCCTTTGATTTGTTTCTTCTGAAAGATGATTAGACTTGAAAAAAAATTTTAAACACTTCTTATTCAAATCACTCGTACTTGTGTCCTACTATAAAATATTTTTAGACAATTGCTTATCTAGGTCATGGCCCTATAAACTGGAAGTCTGGACAGCAATTTCATCTATCATTTCAAACCTCTGCTTACATGCAGTTTTTAAAATGCCACTTCCTGATGAACCAGGGCACAGAACTAACCGAGGCCAAGTGCAAACACTTCTTCATTCTACTGTACATTTGTGTAAGATTAATGAAAGTGGAAAGATTTAAAGGAAACAGCTTTCTATCTTATTCAGAACCACATGACTGAGTTCAGTTTTTGCTTCTGCCTGGCAAGAAAAAGTGCTATTTGCATGCAGGAAATGACTCTGAAAATTTGCTGACTGACATGGATGTCAAAACAGATTATTAGGAAACTATATTTCTCCATTTCTTCTACAAGAGTCATAGATACAAATACACTATTGAACAAAACAAGATCATAGGCAAATATTTTGTAAAAGCCAGCTCCCTTTCACAGAGGAACAACCCAAGACTATGAAAATACTTAGAGGGGGAAAAAAAGATGATCAAATTGGGATTTCAAAAATCACCAGGAAGAGCCCACTAACACGTACGTGGAGCTGAAGTCGGCCCAGTTATTGGGGGTCGTGGAGGGTTCTGAAGAGGTTACTGCCAAAGGGGCAGGGGTCTCACGCAAGGCCAGTTTGGGGGCAGGGGCAGATACTGAATCAGTCACTGGTTTCACTGGAGCAGGAACCTCATTTTCTGGGATTTTCTCTGCATAGTTTGCAGGGAACCATCCTGTCTTTCCTTTTAATTCTCCTCCAAGCCATCCGGGTTCTCCAGTTTGGCTTTCATCCACCTGTGGAAAAAGTCAAAACTTCAATTTAAGTGGAACTAAATCAACCCCTGAATAGACCCAGCACCCTGCTATAGCAAAGTCCCAAGCCTCTGCCCTCGTTAGACTGATATATGGCATAGGAATTTCTTCATTTTAGTCCAAGTGTCTGGGAAAAGAGTCTCTAAGCAGTAATGCTGAAAAAAAAATGAACTATAATTCAAGTTCTTACTCTCCGTACTTTTTTTTTTTAAAGCCTTTCCCCATGCTTTCCTAACAATGGCAGTTGAGACAAAGTGCCTGGAGTCCTCAGGCATGTAATTTAAATATTTTGATTTGGGAAGTGACCTGACAGGCTTCATCACTCAGAAAGTCACGTAATTACTAAAAATAATTTGACTTGGGTTTATTATTTAAAGTTGAAAGAAAAGCGTTCAATCAACATAAATTCAGTACTCTGAAAACCTCCAATAACTAAGTACTATTTATTCAGTATAGGGACAAGGAAGATTTAAAAAGAACAAGGATTTGCTTCCATAGGAAGCAAAGCTGACTGCTGCTGTGTTTAGTCATTTAAAAGCTCCACAGACACATGATGAGAAAATTAAGGAAGTCATTATTTGCAGCAATAATCAATTTTATTAAGTAGTTTTCTTTTGCACAAATTTAACTTGCATATTCTACAAAAGTGCATATGAGAATACAGAATCATACTGTTCAAAAATTTCACAGAGGCTATCACACCAAATGCTTTTAAGCTTTGCATTTTAATTCTGACTCAAATGGATCATCCAAAATGGCCGGAATGATTCTATTTGTCTTCATAAGTTGCCCCTACTATTTTATGAGCAACAGGAGAGTGACTGGAGGACAGTCACATTTGCTATTAGAAAACTTATTTTCGGCCGGGTGCAGTGGTTCACGCCTGTAATCCCAGCACTTTGGGAGGCTGAGGCAGGTGGATCACCTGAGGTCAAGAGTTTGAGACCAGCCTGGGCAACATGGCGAAACCTGTCTCTACTAAAAAAAAAAAAAAATTAGCCAGGTTTGGTGGCCGGTGCCTGTAATCCCAGCTACTTGGGAGGATGAGGCAGGAGAATCGCTTGAACCTGGAAGGTGGAGGTTGCAAGTGAGCTGAGATTGCACCACTGCATTCCAGCCTGGGCGTCAGTAAGATTCCATCTCAAAACAAAACAAAAAGCTTATTTTCATTACTATAATTTTTATAAGGATCTTATCTTATGAAACCTTATATCTTATTTTTATCCCTTCATATGCTGCCTAAGGAGTAAAACATCAAACTTCATTGGACATTAATGTTGCTGCTTAGAATTCAGACATGGGTAGGCAGGGTCATAACACAACAATGATTTTGGAAAAATCTGACAAAAATATCAGTTGTCTAGCCCATTCAAGTATTAAGTAAAAACTAATTAAAAATAAAGCAAAAAACGATTACATTAAACAAACATCTATCTGTATGTACTAAGTGGAGAGTGAGTAATAGGGTTCAATATTTATTAGCTTATTTGAATAAAAAATGCTTGGGGTAGAGGTGGAGAAAACAGAATACAAGGCAAGGTTTACTACTGAATTCTACCTGTTATTTACAAAATATTCAGCAAGTAGGAGATGCCTACTTGCTCCACTTTAGGAATTATTGTCACATAAAAGCAATGTTTAAAGCTGAGAATTCTCCAAACAACCAAAAAATGCAGTAACACTTCCAAAGGTTGAATTTCTGGCTTCACAGTTCTGTCATTCCCACTCACACTTACACCCACGTGAACACACTAGCCACTTTCCAGTCATTGTTTTGTTCGTACTGTTCTTTTTCTGGGCAGTCCCAACTATTTCTCTAGATGAGGACTTAAGATAAATTCTCCCCCATTTGGATCTTCTTTTATGCTAAACTCAAATGGCTAGATGCCGGTGATACACTCTAGCTTTGCAGCTGCTCCACACTAGAAACATAGCTGTCTCTATCCAAGCCAGGCCCAGCCAGGCTTCTTAGTAGGCTCCATAGTCAAGATCAGTCACCTTGGTTCTAGGACCAAAGGTGCAGTCACGCAGGAGTGGGTTAGGAGCTTGAGCCAAACACACGATTATTTAGTATCAAGACTGCAAAGTGTAACGATCAAGTCTAGGGCTCTGCAGTTAGACCATCTCAATTTAAGTGCTAGTTCTACAATCTATTAACTGGTTGACTTTGGGCAAGTTTAATCTCTTGACAGGTCAGTTTCTTCATCTGTAAATGGGGATAATAAAAATACCTGACTTATTATAATGCTCCCTGCGAGAACGGACAAATATTTACACAATTGCCTGGCATACAAAAAGTGTTAGATACTTTTTTTTTTTTTTTGAGATGGAGTCTCACTCTTGTCACCCAGGCTGGAGTGCAGTGGCATGATCTTGTCTCACTGCAACCTCTGCCTCCTGGGTTCAAGCAATTCTCCTGCCTCAGCCTCCCAAGTAGCTGGGATTACAGGCCCCCACCACCACACCTGGCTAATTTTTGTATTTTTAGTAGAGACAGAGTTTCACCATGTTGGCCAGGCTGGTCTCGAACTCCTGACCTCAGGTGATCTGCCTGCCTTGGCCTCCCAAAGTGCTGGGATTACAAACACCCACCACCAAGCCTAGCCAGATTTTTTTTTTTTTAAATCGTCTCTCCTGTTGTCCAGCTCTGATTTTGTGCTGTAGTTCTCTTACTTGGGCTTCTGTCCTGTTCTAAATGACTGGTTTGACTTTACCTTCACTTGAGGTAACAATCTGTTTCTTTGTACAGAAGTGCCCTGCTCCTTCTAGGTTGACCTTGCCATAGCAATCCTTTTGGGACTCAAGTCGATCCCTTGATTGATGGGACTTCCTACCCGTCTGCTCATTTTGAACCTCCTCAAAGGTCAGCTTGCTTTGCTTAATTATGTCCCCTGATCTATTGTCACTCCCTTGAAACAACGGGTCATTTTTGGTTAATAAGACATGTGCGGTGCGGTGGCTCACTCCTGTAATCCCAGCACTTTGGGAGGCCGAGGTGGGCAACACAATGAAACCCTGTCTCTACGAAAAATACAAAAATTGGCTGGGCGTGGTGGTAATTAAGTAGCTTGTAATCCCAGCTACTCAGAAGGCTGAGGCAAACAGCTTGAACCCGGAAGGCGGAGGTTGCAGTGAGCCAAGTTCGCACCACTGTGCTCCAGCCTGGGTGATACAGCCAGACCCTGTGTCAAAAAAAAAAAAAAAAAAAAAAAAGATAAAAAGACTTTTGGTGGACATCTGGAATGGGATCTGAAACCCTGCAGAAATGTCCTCCCCCTCCAGTAAACTGGTAACACCAGCCTGTCCCCACATATGATAGAAAGCATGCTGGTGCAGCGTACACTTAGGAGTGAAGGAGGGGCCATATCAGCCTCTTATCTCCACAAGCAAGAGCTTCTACCATCCCCAAGGCCAACAGTGAAATCAGTATTTCACTTTTAAGCAAAGAAATCCACTGGTCTCAAAAGCCCCCCAAACAATAACCTCAATTAGTTTAATTTACTCTTATAAGAATATATTAACTTTAATAAATTATTACATTTTAAGATTCAGGGGATGTAAGAGACATTCATTCTTAACATCTAAATTAAATTAACCACTTAGAGCACAAAGGTCAGCATATGAAAATGAGAAATATTTCTTCCTGGATTTGGAAAACTATCCAAAATGCCAATCCATTTTTGGAAAACATAAGATTATGGCAGACCAAGAAGTAGGAACACAAACGGCTTTGTAATATGACTGGTTCCAAAGTGGACTTTTACACAATGTACAATTTACCCACTGGGAGCTATAAGGGAGATTTTATTATCAACAATTTTGGTCTCAATACAATTTCATTTATCAGGCACACTGTAACACCTGAGTGTATTGGGGGTAATTCTAGTGAAACATCATTAAAGAGAAGTACAAACACCAGACACTGTTCACATTTCTGGGACTATGTTACAGAGCTAGTCTACAAAATGTTAGCAATTACACACTGCATACTGTAGCTCACCGATGCAATAGTCAAATATACACAGCAGCCACTGTAGGTTCAAGTCCATTTGGCTAAAGACTGACAGTATTACACTTCTTTTCTAAATTTTTATATGCTCAATGGCTGCCGTCTTCATTAGGTAAGATCATTATTTCTAAAATCTCTGACCTTGTCACAAAGGGAGGAGAAGAAATTCCTTTTTCCCTCAAAGAATATGATAAACAAGTGTAGCAAACAGGTTTAGCCTGTGTATTCAGACCAGCTGACAGTGGCTGCATAGGATGTGTTAAGGAGTGCAGGTAGCAAAACATTTTTCATGGATTTGCTGGTTTTGAAATGTAAGGTTTCTCCCCAAATTCCTAGATGAGGATATTAAAACTTTCTCTAAAGCTCCAACCTGGAGGCTGGCAAATTTTTCCTGTGTTCCAACTACTCAAATCTGCCATGATAGCACAAAAGCAGCTGTAGACAATATATGAATGAAGGAGCCTGGCCATGTTCCAATAAAACTTTATTACAAAACAGGCAGTGATTGGGCTGGATTTGAGCCAACCCTGTGATCATGTGTATACTGGTCCCTCAAAACTGCAGTGATATGACTGCCAATCGTTACTAATTGAGATCCGTTCCCAGGTTTAATCTATGGAAATCTATGGCAGGTAGAGGAAAAAGGTATTGTTGGCTACATTTTTAAAAATATCTGTCAAGAGAAGAAAAGGGAAAAAGTATGAATTAAAAGTTGTTACAAGAGTAACACTAAGACAAACAATTTCCAGAATGAACTGACTGGCTAATGACGGATAACTACTAAAGAAGTCCATTCCTCTTTGGATATTTTTGTGAGGATATTTTCTAGAACTGATTTAGGATTAGTCCTGACAGGAAAAAAGAGATTAGGTTAGATCAGTGGTTCCTGAAATTGACTCCCTAACAGAACCACCTGGCCAGACTTTCAAATACTGTATATGCAGTAAAGTTCCCAGAATCTCTGGGGGTGAGTCCTGGCATGGTTATTTTTTGGAAGCTCCCTCAGCAATCTGGATGTGTTCAGGCCTGCATCCGTCCAAGGAGAAGCATTTAAACCAAGCTTGTCCAACCTACAGCCCATGGGCTACATGTGACCCCAGGACAGCTTTTAATGCAGCTCAACACAAATTCATAAACTTTCTTAAAACATTATGATATTTTTTTGGTGATTTTTTTAAAAGTTCATCAGTTATTGTTAGTGCATTTTATGTGTGACCCAAGACCATTCTTCTTGCAATGTGGCCCAGCAAAGCCAAAAGATTGCACATTCCTGAATTAGATGCTCAGCCTGTGTTCTCAAGACACATCTCAACAAAATAGCAGTGAGCCTAGGTCTTCTCGTTTCTTACGCTCTACTAATATGTTAGAGATGTCAAATTTAATTTTTACTCTCCCAAGTATTGGAACTTCCCAATCAAGAGAGGCCATATATTTTCTAAGCATCTAAGCCTTAGTCATCAAGGTCAAACTCAATCTCACTATAGATATATTCTCTATATCTCTATATCATCACTTTACACTGATTCCTCTCTTTTAAATTTCTAGCAGAGTTAGTGAATATTTTTTGAGAATTTCTTCGAATATTGGCCTTTTCATGTGTTTCTCTAGATTTTTCTAAATGGATCTCAAGCATATTAATGGCAGACAAGATAATTTCCTATGAACAACAACATTGAAAATACTGCTATTGACAAGATATCACATTAAATTTTTGTTAACCATGAGAAATTATATTTTTGGATAGAACTGGGCTAAGTTTTTCTAAAAGCAAAATATTTTGAAGGCTTAGACTGCCTACATTAAAAAAGAAAACACCATTACACTGTTGGACTTCTAAAAATCTAACATATTATAGTAAGCTATATCCCAAAGAAGTTTTGAGGAATTTGAGAATCTGATGACTGTGCCCACAAAAGTAAAAGTGAACCCCTGATTTTTCAACCTAGAGATACTGAAAGTAATGTTCTACTATATGCTCATCTTCTGTTAACTGCAAAACTCACAAAATTAAAAAAATACAAGCCTGTTGCTATTAGATGACAATATCTATCTTTTTGTATTAGTTGTTACCCTCACAAAGATAACACAGCTGGAATGGCACTTGGAGTATCACAATGCATTTTGTAGCACAAAATCGAAACACTGCTGTCCCTTCTGCAAGCCAATGAATGATGCCCAGTAGTACACTCTACATTTCATTACGTGTTTGGGAGGTCTGAGATAAATGAACACCATTACAGTCCTGGGTAGATATTCTCTGCTATACTTGTCCTTTAAGTTGAATTTACATTTAGTGTTTTATTAAAAATTACAACTTAGATACATTTATTGAAAATAAATATAGAAGTCTATAAAATTCAACATGAAAGTCCCTTCTTTACTGCCCAGTGGCAACCACTGTTAACAGTTGGATACGCATATATTTCAAAATTGTTAACTATACATAAACACATAAATACATATATAGTTTTATTTCTAACCAAAATGCAATTATGCTGCACATATTCGTCTGCTTTTTTGATGAAAATCTTATTTGTATATGTGATCTATATAAGTTTAAATCTTCAGTATATTTTTTAGCTATATCATAATTTATTTAAACCATTGATTGACACTGGGCTGTTTATTTGCTTTTACCAACACCACTGCAGTGAACATCTATGTACACACATATTTGTGCATGTGCCCAAAAGAGGAAGGAGAGGGATGAGAGGAAGGAGAAAAATATTTCTGGGGCAGAGGGAATGAGAATTTAAAATTTAAACAGGCACCGCCAAATTGCCTTCCAAATCACTTAGCCAACTTACACAACCATGCTAACAATGTACATATCCACTGTCCTATACTCTTCACAAAGCTGGATATTACCGGACTTTTAACCTTGATCATTTGATAAAGGAACAATGGTATTTTGTTTTTTAACTTGCATTTTTCTGAATACCCAAGAAGCTAAGCATCTTTTCATGTGTTTTTTAAATAACTGACTTTTTATTTCATCTGTGAACATGCCTTCCCACCCTCTGCCATTTGTTTAAGGCTTGTGGGCCTCATTCAAAGTTAACTGTTTGAGGTCTTTATGTAACAGGAGTAACCCTTTATGTAACTCTTGGTCTCATATCTTTTGAAATATAGACATTTTAATTTTTGTATATTGTCAGCTGTCCATTTTTGCCTCTTACGACTTCAGTTTTTATAGCTTAAAAGGCCTTTCTTAGCCAGAAAATCATTCCAATCGTTTCCTTAAAAATTTTTTTTCCCAGAATTTTATCTTTTATGTTTAATCTACTTGGAACTCCTTTTGGTCTACGGCCTGAGATGGAGACTTGACCTAATCCCTGGCCAAACACAGAGCATTCAAGTTAGTCCTTAAAAGGAATCCAGCAAAAAGAAACCCAGTACACAAACTGAGAAGACTTACTGTTTAAAAAAAAGACACAACCTACTACACAGACTCAAACACATTTTTACGGCCACGACAACACCCAGAGATATGTGTACTTACACAGAATTCAAGTGACTTAAAAGAACAAAACATTGAATCAGATGCAGACTTCCTGACAGTTAGGCAACACTTACCCATTCCCCTTTAACCTCCACCAGGAAAGCAAAGGTTTGAAAGCAAGGCAAAATATATGTTTAATGACATGCTTTACTCTTACAGCATATCTAAACTCTACGCATCTCATCAAGCTGGTGGTTAACCAGCCAATTTGAGGAAAAGGTTTCAATAGGCCTAGGATTACAGGTGAAGCCCAAATATGTGCCCATAAAACAGCAACACTTTCTCATTAAGATATAGATCACCTGTAACACTTCCTTATCATAACATTTCATAACATTCCCTTAAGACAAGAGCAAGCTGTTTCTCTGCACCTTGTGTTGCAACAATATCCAGTTCCAGAAATATTAGCCTGTTTTGCTTTAAGCATTAAAAAAAATTGTAATGAGGTCCTCACTGATGTGACATTGTATTTTCAGAAATTTTAGATTCCTATTATGTGGTATTTATATATTTTATAATTAATCTACTTTACAGGAGACACTACTTCAATATGAGGCAGTATGAGTAAAGTAGCTTCAGGCTATTAGAAGCCATGGTGTCTTCAGTCTGAGGAAATAAAGAACTCAATGTAAAGAAGAAGAAAAAAAAAAAGAAACCATGGTGTAGGAAATAGCAGGTGGTGAAGTCAGAAGCAAGCTGACAAACACACTCTACTGGCTCAAATTACCGTGTGTGTGTAGAGTGGCGTGCCCAAACTACCAGTTCTTTCTGTAAAGAATGAGTAAGGCTGGCACCCAGCATGTTTCAGACATTCAATAACTGTGTGCCGAATGAAGGCATGGAGTATATTTGAAGAAGTTTTTTATTATTGTTAAGGTGATTTTAACTTTTAAAGATTTGGAACCTGGGCAATATAGGGAGACCCTGTCTCTACAAAAAACAAAAAAAGAAAAATTAGCTGGGTATGGTGGCACATGCCTCTGAGCTACTCAGGAGGCTGAGGCAGGAGGATCACTTGGGCCTGGGAAGTGGAGGTTGCAGGGAGCCAAGATCATGCCACTGCACTCCAGCCTAGGTGACAGAGTGAGACCCTGTCTCAAAAAAAAAAAAAACAATTAAAGAATAAATAATTTGGGACTTTTGGCCTTGCTTCTTTTAGCCCATGGTAATTACAGAGAAAGCAGCTATTAGAGAAAGAAAAAAAGGGGATCGAGGGATTGATTTATCTAAGTACCAAACATATTGTTCTTTCTGTGTATTTTAGCCTATTAAAGATCTATCCTATACACAGAGATATGAAGTTACACAGCAAGATGAATGCATGAGTAATAGTATAATGACCTGTACAACACCCTTTATACTTCAAAGACATATCGTCCTTGGGCAAGAAATATGTTTGTCTCAATTGTTAACTTTCATAGTTCTTTAAAAATTCTAGGCCAGGTGTGGTAGCTCATGCCTGTAATTTCAGCACTTTGGAAGGCTGAGGTAGGAGGATCGTTTGAGCCCAAGAATTCAAGACCAGCCTGGGCAACACAGAAAAACCCTGACTCTACAAAAGACACAAAAATTAGCTGGGCATGGTGGTGCATGCCTGTGGTTCCAGCTATTTGGGAGGATGAGATGAGAGGATCACTTTGCCTGAGCCCAGGAGGCAGAGGCTGCAGTGAGCTATTATCGCACTACAGCACTCCAGCCTGGGTGACAGAGTGAGAACTTGTGTCAACAACAACAGCAAAATCGAAATTATCTTTTAAAGTAATGCTAACAGTAATGCAAAGCTGACTATTTCTAAGACTCTAAAGTGAGTAACTAGAACAAGGAACTACTATTTTCTCTTAGAAAATAATTTAGATCAACCATGTTGTCTGATTTTCTTTCTTAAACTGGTTCCTATAGTTTTAGTTGCATCATAAGATTGTTATTACAGTTAAAGGAAAGAAACAATAACAGCAAAATTCTAACTATCTTCTGTTACGGAGTAGGAAAGCAGATTAACTATATAATTCATTACTTTTCAAAGTTCACATAATTAAAGGGAAAAAAGATGATTTGATGAAAGATACAAAAGTTATCATTGCAATTATGAGAATGATGATAGAGTGTTTTGCACTTATAACTATTTCTTAAAGACTCCTGGCCTCCTCCCACCTTGGAGGATCCGTGTGTGTGTGTGTGTGTGTGTGTACACATATAATTAATTATATAGTATATACATCATATATAAAATATATATTTATAATCATAGTATATAAGTAGTAATCTAAACTCTGAAATTATCATTTATAGATTTTAAAATAATAAAACATTGTCTTTACCAACTCAATTTTAAAGTGATGTTAGGATGTGTTTTTTTTTAAATACCACCTTTCATTTTAATAGAAAAGAAAGAAGACTGAGCTTCTATTATACTTTAAAAATCTAGATGCTGGATTATTGGGTTTCATACTCACTGATATCTCACAATTGTCTAATATAAAGTACAAAAAGAGGACAGAGGTTAATCTTCAACATAAACAACCCTCTCAGTGGAGTCTTTCTTACCATGACTATGTCTCCTGGCTGGATAGTGATTTCATCATGGCTTCTGGATTCAAAGGGGTACAGTGCTCGGTAATATACCACTTTTACATTTTCCTGTGCAGAAATGGTAAGTGGACCTTTTTCTGTTTAAAAAAAGGTGGGGGGACAAAAATAAATAATTACAGAGAACACAAATGTATGACAATAAGCCAAACAACTAACATCTCCTCTACTGCCTATCTCAACCTCTGAACTGTCCCTTCATTCAAGGAATTTATGAAAAACATACTGAATGCCAAAGGGAAGCCAAATCTGACATCAGCAACTCAAACCCAGAGAGTTCATTAGTGACTCCCTAAACAGAGGTCATTCCAAGGCTGAGCGCAGCGAGGCTGCCTAAAGGTCCCTTGTCTCTGCCTCTTGGCTCGGGCTCTAGCAGTACAGATCTGGAAAGCATCAATAGCCCCCTCCTCCCTACCCAGTGTGTTGAGTACAATGCAGCAGTTAGGATATGACCCAAAGTCTGAATCAGCCAAGAAGCAAACTTGTTTGGGAGGGAACAGAGGCACCAGTTTCCATACTGAAACACGAAAATGCAGATGTTTTAGGCTCTTAACATGGTCATATAAAACCTAAGTGCTGATTTCAGTTACACTGATAATCCCCGATGAAGAAAGTCTTCTCTACATTTCCTGGGGAAATAATGAGTCTAAGGATGAACTCTAGATGAAAATAATTTAGATTTTAAATAAAATAAAATTTAAAAAAATGCACATGAGCAGAGACGATTTCGAATTCTGGTTAGCAACAATTAATAACAGACCTGTGGGCATTTTTACTCAAGAGCTACAAGTATTTTGACATATACCTATCTTATCTGAAAAGCAATGAGGAGAAAGTATTATTTCCATATGATTTTGAACTGTATGACATGCAAGATTTCCTACTGACTGAAAGGGAAAAATAAATCCTCGTTTTATACTAGGAGGACGCATAAAGAACTTAAACTAATTGCCTGAGATCAACGGTGAAATTATTTTCAGATTGAAAAAACTATCGAAAAATAAATTTGCCCCTCCTATGACATGGTTGCTACTGTGTAGGTCTGATGACCTGCTAGTATTTCCCCTGGACTACGTGCATCTGAAGGCAGTAAGGTGCCTAATGCAACTCCATAATTCGCGCCCATCTCTGCCCACTATGCAGCTGGGAACCAGTAAACCTTTATAGAATAGCTTCGGTGTTTTTCCTTTCTTTTCGTTCCGTATACTGCAGCACTAAAAAAGCACACCGATGACCAAGCAAAACTGGTATAATTTGCCACACAAAGAAAAAGCAATGACTTGCTTCCGCTGAGTATTATTTGCAAAACTGCAGAATCACACAACCACACAAGAATCTTAAATACACTCTAGCTTACATCTGATAATATAAAGGATAGCTTTTTCTAGCTATTCCAATTAGATCAGTCTTCCAATTAGATCAGTCTTTCATTTATCTCTTTTCTTGGTCTTCCATTTATTTATTTTTTTTTAAGGCAAATTAGGCCAGGTGTGGTGGCTCATGCTTGTAATTTCACTACTCTGGAAGACCCAGGTGGGAAGATTGCCTGTGGCCAGAAGTTCAAGACCAACTGGGGCAACAAAGTGAGACCACATCTCTTTTTTTTTTTTATTTTCTTCTGGAGAATATACCAAGTAAGAGACCCCATCTCTTTAAAAAAAAAAAAAAAAAAAAAAAAAATTAGCTGGGCATGGTGGTGCACGCCTATAGTCCCAACTACTTGGGAGGCTAAGGTAGGAGGATTGCTTGAACCCAAGAGTTTGAAGCTGCAGTGAACTATGACTGTGCTACTCCACTCTAGCCTCGGTGACAGAGTGAGACACTGTCTCAAAGAAAAAAGAAAATTAAAAAAAAAAGAGGCAAATTATATTCAAAGGGCACAATGTTCACACTTTTAAAAAAGTAAAAGCAGTTTTATGCAATGCAGACCAAAGACAGTGAATCCCACATCAGTGGAGGCAAGGGTGAAAGTTGCCACTTTCTGTTGCAGAAACAGCTCAGAAATTCCAGAGAGGGAAATAACAAACCAGAGAAACAGCAGGTTCTTTTTGCAGCATAGGTTAAGACCAGTGGAACTTCACGCCACTTTTGTTAACTCCATAGAGGATTTGTGGATGTCAGCGTATTGTGGGCCAGAGGCTGGCACAGTGGTGGGAGAATTACAAGATCTCAAATGACCCTGGGGAAAGAAGAGCTGCCATGCTCAAAATAAGAGACTGACGTTTTCATCTGTTCATGTAGTCAAGACAGGTTCTGACGAGATACGGGCATTTCTCAGGAGGATCTGGGAGAGAAGACAACTTAGTTTCTAGAATTATTTTTGGCTTCTAATACCTGCAGTGGACCAGGGTGCCTGGACAGCTGGCTTAGCTGGTTCTTGATGCTGATGGAAAAGCCGACCCAGCTTGTCTTGTGCCTCCTGTTTGCATTTTTCCTCATCATCCTTCTTTTTGACACTCTCTTCCCTTTTCAGTTTTTCTTCCTCGTGGAGTTTTCTTGGTCGCTGATGCTCATCCTCCTGCTGCACATGCTCCAGCCACTGCTTGTCCCTTTCCTGAGCTCGTCTGCCAACAAACACGCTTGATTACAGCAAGGAAGCAACCCTAAGTTAACATTACTGTTGCCTCTTTTCACAAAAAATGCTCCATCCAGTAAATGGGATGGTAAACATCAACAAAACTTGTTCTTCAGATGGGGCAACTGAATCAGGGCTCCAATTCTGAGTGAGAAGAAATCACATGATTTAGGAAAACAGAAAATTTCTGATGTATTTTACCAAGTGGTTGCAAGAATAAGAAAAATACTTCTTAATAATAAAGCTGGTATTAAACTGCCAAAACAAACAAACAAAGCTATAAAACAGAGAGAACATAACTTCTATAAAAATAAAGCACACCCAACACTGTAAACGAAATATCACTTAAAATAAGTCCATGAACAATCAGATCACTAAAATTTCCTCCCAGCTAAGGGTACAACACATTTATATGCACACACATTGCTCCCAAAACCTGAAGCTGAAAGCAAAAAATTGTTTTATTGATTTCAACTACTTTGATCGTGTTTTTCAAAGTAGCACCCACAAAATAGATAATTGGAATTAAACCTAGGCCTTGAGATTTTTGATGGCCTGAACCTGAAACCCACAGTAAAAGACTGAGAATGATTTTTCTCATTCCTTAATACTTTATAAAGTCAGAAAATATTTAAATGAACCTAATATGTAATACCAAATGACACAACTAGCTCTTCATATATTAACCCCCTTAACCTGCCAATCAGGTAGGTAGGTCCTAGTACTACTCCAATTTACAAATGAGGAAGCTGGGGCAGAGATATTAAATGACTTGTCATGTCACACAGTCATATGTGCCTGGTCCCAGAGTCTTCACCCTGAACTGCCATCCTTTGACAAGGCTAATGCACACAGGTCATTGGCTGGAATTAGGAATCTGCCATGGAAACATAATTTAAACAAACTACTTTTATTCTCCATTGTCAAAAATTACATTTATTTCTACTCTGTATAAATGTGGAATTTTAATGCAGAAGTCTTTTAAACTTAAATCTTAAACATTTTATTTACGACTTGTAAAATGTCTTTTAAGAAAGCATAAAAACATTTTTTGGAGGGGCAGGATGTTGTTATTCATGACAACAAAAAACCATAATAACATTACTTTATATTTTCTACCAATAAAGGTCACCATATATACTGTATAACCGTTGAATTTCTGAAGTTAATTTGGAGTATTTTTTATCTATATAATTGGAATATATTACATATATTTTTATTATGCTACTTTCTGTATTAAGCTATTTTATGTATTTTTCTATATTTTATGTTTAATTCTACTCTGTGGGAACATAGCAGTTCAGTACAGTATAGTGTGAATAATAAAAACATTTTATAAACTGCGGAGGTAAGAAAAGGATGGAGTTAATCCAATATATCCAAGGAGGAGATCCTTAGCCTGACCCCCAACCAAACCGTAAAACAATCCTGTAAATTGGTCTGAGAGCCCAGATACCCCCTTATTGGCACTGAAAAACAAAAATACAATCCAAACAAACAGAAGATTCTGTATACCCATAAGAAAGTATTCACAGCTCTGGGCAGGTTAACTGGACTCAGCCCACTATAGTCAACGACTTGCCTCAAGTATCTGTTTCTTTATCTTTTTAATTTAATTTCAGTTACCAACTTTTATAATCTATAGCCTGTCATTGAGACATTTGGTCATTTTTGTTTTGTGGGGTCTAAAATTAACTGACATTTAAAAGGCAAATACCCAGTAACAAAATCAGACACAAATTTCTACAATTTACCACAGAAAGTTACAAGTAAAAACAAAAATATCACAAACACAAATCTTCAAACAAAAACAGGTCTGTATCCTATGCACTAAGCAGCAGTGGCAAAATTTCCCCTTTTGTACTAAAGTTTAATTTGCAGTTGAAAAACAGAGGAAGGGAAACAGAGGGGCCCACACTGACCCTGCCGGAGAAGCCCTGTGTGGGGCGCTAGCTCAGTGGCTTGGATTTCAAACCAGGCATTCCCACCCCTGTTACTAAAAGGCTGTGAACTGGAAACGTTATTTTGGCCATTAGCATGCAAATGAGCACACCAAGTGTCCCAATTTCCTTGTATAATTCCATTTATCCACAGAGTAGTAGCTTGAGAGAGCTCTGGGAACTAAGCAGAAACTTCAGGAGGTACTGATATATGCAAAGATTTAGATATACACGTGTTTGTGTTTGCACTCACACTTCACAAGCACACGAAAGACTGAAGGTTCTTCCTGGTGCAGTAACTACTTGGAGAAGCCAGGCAAAGAACAGTAAATCCTCAAAGTTCCTTCCAGATGAATGCATAATCCACACGAGACTCACCTTTGGGCTTCTTCTTTTTGTTTTTCTAATTCTACGATCTTTCTCTCTTGTTCTTTCTGTTTCAGTCGTTCCGCCTCCAGGGACTTTTGCTTCTGGAGTTGCTGCTTACTATGTATTTCTCTTAGTTCCTATAAATAACCGAGAAACATTTCATGTAGCAACAGGAGTGACAGGTATATCAACTATTTATCAGCATGCAACATTTCATAGTGGGAAGCCTAGGACACTTAGGAGGTAACGTTTAGAGTTGGAAAAAGTCAACTTGGAAAGCTAAAATCACACCACATTTTGACATGACTGATTTCCAAAGGCCACTTAAGATTACATTCTAGTAAGCCATACACATAATACCATTTTCCATGATCTGCTCTAGAAGCAACCTGCTAGAAAAGGGCAGGAGAGGAGCTATACTGCTGAAGGCTCAGCAATCATAATGGAATATAACCAGTTCCAAAATATAGCGATGATCATAATGTTGATTATCAATCAACACCAGCCTCTACTGGCTTTGAAAATACACACACCTCTTCACTCACTACCCTCCATTCAAACCTCACCTCCTCCTTTCACTAAGCTGCCTCAGAACAAACATTTCTTTGCTCCCTGACTTCAATTCTTCCCCCCAGGGTCATTTTTCTTCTAATTACACCTCTTCCAGAGCATCTTTTCCAACTAAATCTATCCTTCAAGTTGCTAACTGCCCCAAAACTAAACCAGCAATCAGGCTGAAAGTAAAAAGCTATAATTTGATGATGACTACCTTGGATCCAATTTCCTCACTTGAAACTAGCTGCAGGAAGAGCAGTAATTTCCTTAGCAGGCTACTGAAAATAAAATGCATTCTATATTTAAAGTACTCGAGTCAGAAGTTTAAATACCTGAAAATATGAAGAACAAGGAAACGTCTGCTGAGGAAGAAACTCTCTGATTCCATAGGAGTCAAATGGTCACCAATGGACTGAGTCACTGAAACTCATCTTACTTATTTTCCCTTCCCCTAAGTTCCTGTTCCACATGCCAGGTCTGCTGCCATAGGGAACAGTCCAATTTGTGCTTTACAAAGTTACCTTTTCCTGCTGTGTCCTGCCTGGATATTCCCAGTGTCACCTGCTAGGTTCCCCACTGTAACCCTTCCCTCCTCCCTTCTTCCGACTCCCTTCCTTTCCTTCTTTCTTCCCTTCTTCTGCCTTTTCCCCTTCCCCTTTTCCTCCAGTGCCTCCCTCTTCCTAAGTACCCCCCACCCCCAATCTCCAGTTAAACTTTTTCTTTTATCTCATTTTTCCCTTTTAAAGTCTTACTTGGGCCAACAATAAATCGATGAGTCAAAGTGCCCAGTAGAGCCAAGGTATCTTTCCAGTTGATTTCTCAGTCTAACTAGGGCTGGTCCTCCCAGTAGCTGGCCCAGGGATCTCTATAGGGAGATTTAAGGACTAAGATTTGCCCTGTCTTCTATCACCTTTCTCACTGGCCATACTAGACAGGCAGGGTTCTTCCAGGCCCTAAAACTCCTACCTTTAGATTCATTCGAGATTGAATAACAAAGATAGAGCGTTTGTCTATAGAAGGTCAGTGTTAAAATGCACTTGTTATTGGAAAATAATCCTAAGGACTAGGCTAACCCTTTCTTACTAATTTTGCTAAGATTGAAGTTAAAATGCATATACAGGCTGGGTGCAGTGGCTGATGCCTGTAATCCCAGCACTTTCGGAGGCCGAGGCAGGTGGATCATCTGAGGATGGGAGTTCGAGACCAGCCTGACCAACATGATGAAACCCTGTCTCTCCTAAAAATACAAAATTAGCCAGGTGTGGTGGCACAAGCCTGTAATCTCAGTTACTTGGGAGGCTGAGGCTAAGACTGGAAAGCAATGATGATGCCTCACACTGACTGTTAAGTGCTAACTGAGATCAGAAAATCAACCCTAGGGAGAAAGAAGTCCATTTTTCATTATCTTTCTCACTGCCATATCAAGGGATGTAAAACTTAATTTAATTTTATTTTTTTCTTATTTATTTATTTTTTAAAGATGGGGTTTCTCCATGATGGCCAGGCTGGTCTTGAACTCCTAACCTCAGGTGATCCACCCACCTCAGCCTCCCAAAGTGCTAGGATTACAGGCGTGAGCCACCGCACCCGGCAATTTTAATGTGCTAAAAAATCAGCAGTATTGGTTTTCATAGTAACCTGGAATCAAGAACAAATAGTAATCAGTAATAACATGAATAAAAATTTCATTTTCAACACTATCACATTCTTAAATAGGTTCAGAAAAAATAATTTACAGCAAAAGACGATACTTAAAAGGTACAGAACTAGGAATCAAGAAACCAGGATTCTAATCTCAGGTCCCTGACATGAGCTGGCAGATGAATCAGAATAGATGATCTTTAGGTGTTCTTCTAGTGTTGGGATCTGTTAGATCTTAGACGCTGTTCATCACATAAGTATTTATTTATTTCAGTGTCTGTTTTATTTAGAATTTTATTCTTAACTGCAAGAATAAGAGAAAAAAGCGTAAGCAAAATAACCGTGAGCTGAAATTAAATACCAAAGAGTAAGAAATGATGGAAGAGAAGTAACATTTCAGTTTGATATTCAGAGATCTGATTATATATTTTCAAAAGTCCTTATTTCATCTAGGAAAAATGTATTTATAAGTAAAGTGATATTCAAAATATTCAACAGCAGGTACTGAAAAACCAGAATGGATACTGGCCATGAGGTATCAACATACTATAATAGATAGCCCATAGGTACAAATGAAGATTTTTCATTTTTCCCCAAGAATTATACTGCACAGTTTCTTTCTATACTAGGCTCTTGTAACTGAATATGATTTGCAGATCATTGATTACCAGATGGAAGTAAAGCTAGTCATACATTAGGAGGCACTATAAAATTGAAAAGCTTATAAGAAAAAGTGATTTTGAAGAATCTATAGAAAAAAATCCTACCTATGACACAGTTTCAAAAATAATTTTTCTATGTATCAAATACATGAAAAAAGATATTTAAAAATTTTTAAACACACTTTTTTTCAAGTATAGCTGCATTATGGGATGGGTTGAACCAATCTTTGGAGCTGATTATGTAAGTTGCAGCTTCAAGTACCTCCAAGAAGTAAGTGGGGCTTGCAGGAACCATAAAATAAGCTAACAGAAGGCTCTGGCACCTTATGATCCAGATTTCAAGATGGCAAAGTTTCTCTATCATTTCTACACCCAAGTCGAACACTGCTGAGATACACAGTTGTAAGGAAATCAGTGTGCTTGGCCACTGGCAGGCATTCTGAGTCTTCTCTTTTCTTGGACTTAGGAGTTTACTATGGCATGAAACAAAATAAGCAGAACATGGATGATTTCTAAGTTGATAAGCTTTTTAAAAAGTTGAACCTCCAAGAAGGTAATCTACAGGATGAAGGAATAATACTCTAAAAAATGAGTGAATAACTCTTCTTCCTTTGCCACAACCAAGTCCTTAGAGAACACCCAATCTTTTCACATGGGGGAGTAGATGGCTGCACTATTCTCTCGTTCTTTCAACACTATTAAAGAGACTCGAGTAGAATTATAGTTATTAAGAAGTATCCTTTTAATCCTTCCAGAAAAAAACAATTTCAAAGTGACAAACAAATATGGTGTCATTAAATTCTTTATCTAGGAAATGAGCAACTATTCAGGGAAATGGCTAAGGAAAACTTCGCCACATTCAAAGTATCAACTTTTCCTGGTAGGCAACTTGATTAAAATGACCCTCAAATTCTATTAAATCCACGTGGAATTTGTCAAAATTATTGCACTATTATAACAGAAAGAAACAAATAAGAAATTACCATGAATCAAAAGTCAGTATCTCACTTGGTTCTTCCTAACATTAATTGATTTTTTTCTAAAATGAACAACTCTACAAAAGCATGTTTCTTGCCTGGATATTAATCTAGCAATATAGTATGGAGTGTAGAACTTTGTTGATTTTTCTTCTATAAATTCTATTCAAGCATGTATGTTTTACACTAGGTGCAGTATGTAATTTGATGTTATCGTCTAATAAAACATAATTACATTACTTTCTTAATAAATAAGAAATTCGGCCGGGTGCAGTGGCTGAAGCCTGTAATCCCAGCACTTTGGGAGGCCGAGGCGGGTGGATCACAAGGTCAAGAGATCGAGACCATCCTGGTCAACATGGTGAAACCCCGTCTCTACTAAAAAAAATACAAAAAATTAGCTGGGCATGGTGGCGTGTGCCTGTAATCCCAGCTACTCAGGAGTCTGAGGCAGGAGAATTTGCCTGAACCCAGGAGGCGGAGGTTGCAGTGAGCCGAGATCGCGCCATTGCACTCCAGCCTGGGTAATAAGAGCAAAACTCCGTCTCAAAAAAAAAAAAAAAGAAATTCGATAGTCAATAAGTTTTAGCTGCATGTAACAAATAAATACTTACGTAGAAAAAAATTAAAACTATAAAACGTGTAGTATATTACTACACATATATATATTAAAATAATAAGGTTTTTTTTTTTAAGTAAAAAACAAAATGTGCAGAATTATGACACTACAGAGCAGAGTTTCTTAACCAGGTCTGTGAATAAGCTTCAGCCCTGTGGCTGCTATGTAGCATGCAGACTTGGGGTATATGGGCATTTTTTTCTGGTGGAGAAAGCTTGCAGCTTTTATTAGTCTCAAGGGGTCTTTGATCAAACCCAGCTTATGAACCACAATAAAAAATTATTAGCATATCAAGATTCTGTTTTGTGCTAGTTAAGAGAAATGAAAATCAACTTGCTTTTAATTTTCTTCCCTGGACCAAAGAGGGAAAAGTCACTTACTTCCCCTAAAGAGCTAAGATATTTGAACCATAAAATATCTTTGGACATGCTACGGCACAGAGCCAAAGTATTTCAAAAGCAGTATGTCTGATAAATTGAATACCCAAGAAGATCCAACTATTTTTCCCCTGAGAAATGTGGCTCAAGTTTACTGAAGATGGTTGTTCTACTGCTATGTTCAAAGGCACAGAATCACTTGATTTAATAACTGACTGTTTCTCCTTCATCTGGTCTTAGAGACACTTAAAAATAGATGTATTATGTCAAACAATATTACTTGAAATCTAAAGTAGCATGCACCTA